TTTAGCCCTGCGACACGGTCCTTGGACTCCAGCTTAGACCGAAGCGGGGCAGAACGAAAGCCGGCGCCAGGAGGACACGAGCAGGGTGGCAGTTGGCAGTGCAGAAACGCAGGAAAAGTCAAGGTTTGGAGCCGCAGAACGAAAGCCGGCTCCAGGAGGACACGAGCAGGGTGGCAGTTGGCAGTGCAGAAACGCAGGAAAAGTCAAGGTTTGGAGCTAGTTTCTAGTCGGTTCGGAAAGTGACGTTTGGCAGTCTAGGATACGGGCCACGGGCCCAATCCGTCCTTCACTGCCATGGTGTTTTAGCCCTGCGACACGGTCCTTGGACTCCAGCTTGGACCGAAGCGGTGCAGAACGAAAGCCGGCTCCAGGAGGGTGGCAGTTGGCAGTGCAGAAACGCAGGAAAAGTCAAGGTTGGGAGCTAGTTTCTAGTCGGTTCAGAAAGTGACGTTTGGCAGTCTGGGATACGGGCCGCGGGCCCAATCCGTCCTTCACTGCCATGGTGTTTTAGCCCTGCGACACGGTCCTTGGACTCCAGCTTGGACCGAAGCGGTGCAGAACGAAAGCCGGCTCCAGGAGGACACGAGCAGGTTGGCAGTTGGCAGTGCAGAAACGCAGGAAAAGTCAAGGTTTGGAGCTAGTTTCTAGTCGGTTCAGAAAGTGACGTTTGGCAGTCTGGGATACGGGCCACGGGCCCAATCCGTCCTTCACTGCCATGGTGTTTTAGCCCTGCGACACGGTCCTTGGACTCCAGCTTGGACCGAAGCTGTGCAGAACGAAGGCCGGCTCCAGGAGGACACGAGCAGGGTGGCAGTTGGCAGTGCAGAAACGCAGGAAAAGTCAAGGTTTGGAGCTAGTTTCTAGTCGGTTCAGAAAGGGACGTTTGGCAGTCTGGGGTCCTTCACTGCCATGGTGTTTTAGCCCTGCGACACGGTCCTTGGACTCCAGCTTGCACCGAAGCGGTGCAGAACGAAAGCCGCCGGCTCCAGGAGGACAGGAGCAGGGTGGCAGTTGGCAGTGCAGAAACGCAGGAAAAGTCAAGGTTTGGAGCTAGTTTCTAGTCGGTTCAGAAAGTGACGTTTGGCAGTCTGGGATACGGGCCGCGGGCCTAATCCGTCCTTCACTGCCATTGTGTTTTAGCCCTGCGACACGGTCCTTGGACTCCAGCTTAGACCGAAGCGGTGCAGAACGAAAGCCGGCTCCAGGAGGACACGAGCAGGGTGGCAGTTGGCAGTGCAGAAACGCAGGTAAAGTCAAGGTTTGGAGCCGCAGAACGAAAGCCGGCTCCAGGAGGACACGAGAAGGGTGGCAGTTGGCAGTGCAGAAACGCAGGAAAAGTCAAGGTTTGGAGCTAGTTTCTAGTCGGTTCAGAAAGTGACGTTTGGCAGTCTGGGATACGGGCCGCGGGCCCAATCCGTCCTTCACTGCCATGGTGTTTTAGCCCTGCGACACGGTCCTTGGACGCCAGCTTGGACCGAAGCGGTGCAGAACGAAAGCCGGCTCCAGGAGGAGCAGGGTGGCAGTTGGCAGTGCAGAAACGCAGGAAAAGTCAAGGTTTGGAGCTAGTTTCTAGTCGGTTCAGAAAGTGACGTTTGGCAGTCTGGGATACGGGCCGCCGGCCCAATCCGTCCTTCACTGCCATGGTGTTTTAGCCCTGCGACACGGTCCTTGGACTCCAGCTTGGACCGAAGCGGTGCAGAACGAAAGCCGGCTCCAGGAGACACGAGCAGGGTGGCAGTTGGGAATGCAGAAACGCAGGAAAAGTCAAGGTTTGGAGCTAGTTTCTAGTCGGTTCAGAAAGTGACGTTTGGCAGTCTAGGATACGGGCCGCGGGCCCAATCCGTCCTTCTCTGCCATGGTGTTTTAGCCCTGCGACACGGTCCTTGGACTCCAGCTTGGACCGAAGCGGTGCAGAACGAAGGCCGGCTCCAGGAGGACACGAGCAGGGTGGCAGTTGGCAGTGCAGAAACGCAGGAAGTCAAGGTTTGGAGCTAGTTTCTAGTCGGTTCAGAAAGTGACGTTTGGCAGTCTGGGATACGGGCCGCGGGCCCAATCCGTCCTTCACTGCCATGGTGTTTTAGCCCTGCGACACGGTCCTTGGACTCCAGCTTGGACCGAAGCGGTGCAGAACGAAAGCCGGCGCCAGGAGTACACGAGCAGGGTGGCAGTTGGCAGTGCAGAAACGCAGGTAAAGTCAAGGTTTGGAGCTAGTTTCTAGTCGGTTCAGAAAGTAACGTTTGGCACTCTGGGCTACGGGCCGCAGAACGAAAGCCGGCTCCAGGAGGACACGACAGGGTGGCAGTTGGCAATGCAGAAACGCAGGAAAAGTCAAGGTTTGGAGCTAGTTTCTAGTCGGTTCAGAAAGTGACGTTTGGCAGTCTGGGATACGGGCCGCGGGCCCAGTCCGTCCTTCACTGCCATGGTGTTTTAGCCCTGCGACACGGTCCTTGGACTCCAGCTTGGACCGAAGCGGTGCAGAACGAAAGCCGGCTCCAGGAGGACACGAGCAGGGTGGCAGTTGGCAGTGCAGAAACGCAGGAAAAGTCAAGGTTTGGAGCTAGTTTCTAGTCGGTTCAGAAAGTGACGTTTGGCAGTCTGGGGTCCTTCACTGCCATGGTGTTTTAGCCCTGCGACACGGTCCTTGGACTCCAGCTTGGACCGAAGCGGTGCAGAACGAAAGCCGGCTCCAGGAGGACACGAGCAGGGTGGCAGTTGGCAGTGCAGAAACGCAGGAAAAGTCAAGGTTTGGAGCTAGTTTCTAGTCGGTTCAGAAAGTGACGTTTGGCAGCTGGGATACGGGCCGCGGGCCCAATCCGTCCTTCACTGCCATGGTGTTTTAGCCCTGCGACACGGTCCTTGGACTCCAGCTTGGACCGAAGCGGTGCAGAACGAAAGCCGGCTCCAGGAGGACACGAGCAGGGTGGCAGTTGGCAGCGCAGAAACGCAGGCAAAGTCAAGGTTTGGGGCTAGTTTCTAGTCGGTTCAGAAAGTGACGTTTGCTCCAGGAGGACACGAGCAGGGTGGCAGTTGGCAGTGCAGAAACGCAGGAAAAGTCAAGGTTTGGAGCTAGTTTCTAGTCGGTTCAGAAAGTGACGTTTGGCAGTCTGGGATACAGGCCACGGGCCCAATCCGTCCTTCACTGCCATGGTGTTTTAGCCCTACGACACGGTCCTTGGACTCCAGCTTGGACCGAAGCCGTGCAGAACGAAAGCCGGCTCCAGGAGGACACGAGCAGGGTGGCAGTTGGCAGTGCAGAAACGCAGGAAAAGTCAAGGTTTGGAGCTAGTTTCTAGTCGGTTCAGAAAGTGACGTTTGGCAGTCTGGGATCCGGGCCGCGGGCCCAATCCGTCCTTCACTGCCATGGTGTTTTAGCCCTGCGACACGGTCCTTGGACTCCAGCTTGGACAGAAGCGAAAGCCGGCTCCAGGAGGACACGAGCAGGGTGGCAGTTGGCAGTGCAGAAACGCAGGAAAAGTCAAGGTTTGGAGCTAGTTTCTAGTCGGTTCAGAAAGTGACGGCAGTCTGGGATACGGGCCGCGGGCACAATCCATCCTTCACTGCCGTGGTGTTTTAGCCATGCGACACGGTCCTTGGACTCCAGCTTGGACCGAAGCGGTGCAGAACGAAAGCCGGCTCCAGGAGGACACGACAGGGTGGCAGTTGGCAGTGCAGAAACGCAGGAAAAGTCAAGGTTTGGAGCTAGTTTCTAGTCGGTTCAGAAAGTGACGTTTGGCAGTCTGGGATACGGGCCGCGGGCCCAATCCGTCCTTCACTGCCATGGTGTTTTAGCCCTGCGACACGGTCCTTGGACTCCAGCTTGGACCGAAGCGGTGCAGAACGAAAGCCGGCTCCAGGAGGACACGAGCAGGGTGGCAGTTGGCAAAAACGCAGGAAAAGTCAAGGTTTGGAGCTAGTTTCTAGTCGGTTCAGAAAGTGACGTTTGGCAGTCTGGGATACGGGCCGCGGGCCCAATCCGTCCTCACTGCCATGGTGTTTTAGCCCTGCGACACGGTCCTTGGACTCCAGCTTGGACCGAAGCGGTGCAGAACGAAAGCCGGCTCCAGGAGGACACGAGCAGGGTGGCAGTTGGCAGTGCAGTGTCGTCTCGGGTCTCTTTAGGATGCCATTTAAAGTTTCATACTGCGGTTACGAACGGGGGCTTCGGGTATGGGTCTTAAGTGCTAGAGCAACCCTTTAGGTCCCCAAGACACCTGGCCAATGACGAAAGCTCCTATTTCTTGAGCCATGAAAAAGTGTCAGAGCACATAGTTGTGCGTGTCATCCTGCAGGGGTCCATGCTGCTTGCATGTGCACAGTGCCAAACGCACATACAAATGGTTTGTTTAGGTCAGTTTCTGGTTTCTTTAGGGTTCATTTCATGCTTACGACACAGAGGCAGGCATGACCCTCCAGTGTCCAGGGGTCGGCGGCAGAGGGCGTAGCCCTTTAATATATATATATTATATTATTTATAGATAGATAGTATGTAAATGGAATAAATATCATAAATCTATGCAGCGGATTTGCGGAAACCATCCCAAAAAGCCACGGTGGAGATGCGGCAGAACAGTCACGGAGACCTGCTTTTCACAGAGCAAGAAGTCAGGACGAGTCGAGACGACGAGTCGAGCCGTGACCTCTCACCACTCTTCAGAGGTCTCTGTGGCAGATCGATGAAACCCGAAGGGTGCTTTTCAAGCAGACACGCTGAGGCAGCCCTGTGGTCTGAGCAGTCGACAACTCGGAGATTGTTCGGGAAGGAACAATCAACAACTCAGAGCACGCCACAAAAGCTCTGATGATGGGTCGCAAAATGCATTGATCAGTCATATTTCGATCACAATGCTTGTCGAGCAAAATAGCACATCTTCAAGAAGTGAGAAGACAATACCACTGTTTCCAAATGCCTTTTGGAAGTTTCGACGACCCATTCATGTGGTGTACGGGACTTGCACATGAAGATAGTATCTAAGCCGCTGGAAAGCACTGACAATAACCACACCAGGAAAGCATCTGGAACTTGCTGCTGCCTCTTTTTTTGCTTATCAAAACTGAAACAAGCGGGTTTGCCAGAGGCTCAAACAGAGCAATTGAGAGCACGTATTCAGGGCAGGAACACCCCTTCAGTGAGCAAAGAGAGAAACACAACTGCACTTACTGCGAAGTATTACAGCAGTCAGCCCATTCGCAGTACTGCAAGGGCACAAAGCTGTCTGGGGGTCGCCAAACAGTCTAGCCAAAACAACACTTGAAGTTCACTGGTCTGATGCTGAAACCAGTACAACTTCCGAACCGGCGAGTTTCATCATCGTAAAATTCTGTAGAGGCCGCACCTTGCCAGCGACACAGAAGAGGAAAGTCTACGCATCAACTTGAAGTGTTTGCTATCAATGGAAAGAATTTTGCTACCAAGTTGCCGTGACGAAGAGTTTGCAGCTAGTCAAAGGTACATCTCCAAGTGCAATACCGCCATAGCCCTGTGCCTTGGTTCCCCATGGTTAGCCATCGTTTCGCCATGGGACTTCCATGGATGTCGCGACTCTTAGCATCGCCAAGGCTCAGGAACCTTGACTGTGACAATATGCACCCCGGCCTTGAGGTGGGCCCAATGGCCACCATCGCAGCTTGACCAACGGGATGTTAATGGGCATGTTGTTGCTGTGAAAGAGATGGCAAAGTTACAGCAAAGCAGATTGGCAATGACTTGGAACAGTGCCTTCGAAGATATGTTTTCAGGTGTTCCGCTGATGATTCCAGTCTTGGCATCCAAGGTCAAGCCTACGCACCAAGTGCAACACAGAGCTCAACCGTGCACATCTATGCGCATCTTGTCAAGAGGCTACTTGGTAACATTTGGTGACATACCGTAGATGGATGAAATATTAAACCCCTTCTATCCGGTACAACTCCCCAAAGTTCAATGCTAATGTAACCTGAAGTGCATTAGCCCCAATGGACGAAAGAAATCAAACCCCTAACATCACTTTTCGTAACACGCGCGCTGAAACATTGAGATTTGGGGGTGCGGGGGTTCAACATAGTGCGTGTTGCAGGGTTTGAATATTTTGTCCGCTACTGTATGGAGGTTTCCTGAAATGGGGCCCCCCCTAAATCATACTTGTTAATAGGATTTTCCATTATAAACCAGCCAGCTATTGGGGTACCACCATTTATGGAAACCCCCATATAAATCCTATAATGTAGTAACAACAACTGGACAACTTTTGATCCACTTGAAGTCCTTCTGAAGGGACCTGAAGGGAGAGCGGGTTGCACGACAAAAGCGAGTGTTGGTTCAAGGCAGCGTTGCCCTTCTGGACTCGCATAGGTCACCTTCGGGCCTCAGCACCAAATCTAAAAAACAACATGTCAGAGTACGGATGTGACTCTCTGTGTATACATGTATATTATATCTATACGAATGTATAAAGGTACAATATATAATAATATATATATAATATATATATATACACGGTATATTACAAATGGGATCAAATGGGTTTGTCTGAAAATGGAGTAGCCCTCGAAGTCCATCGTCACCCACTAAGGGGCATCCAAGCTGCGGAGGCAAGTTCGAAGTCCTGCCATCAGCGTCAATGCAACGGGAGCACCTCGGACGGTCATGTCTCTAGAAGCCACACATCAAACTGTCATTTTTAAGATTTTTTATGTATCCTAGATAATAAGGAACGAAACTGGTTTCTTAAATATCATTGAAACATATTGAAACTTAGGAATCTCTCTGGAAAAGGAAAAATCATACCTTTTTGAGCTGATCTTCCTAGAAATCATGAGCAATCAATGGGAATAGGTAATGAGTTCTGAATGAGTCATGATATGTCACGATAATCTGTTATAAAATGTTATAACCTGTTATAATCATGCAAGTTTCACACTGTTTCTATTTGGATCTGTTTAGTCCAGTTCTCTGTCGCGATCATTCTACGAGACCCAAGCTGCTGTCTTCGCTGTCCTGTCGCACCATGCAGCGTCCATGTCCCATACGCACAACCCACACAGGTACCATGATGACATGAAGTAAAGTCATGTAAAGAGTATGTAAAGTCACTATGACCATGAAACTTTATTGCTGAAAGTCACAGATCTCGGAGATGTTCATTGTTCTATACCACTCAGCACCGGTGGGACTTTTCAGGAACACCCTTCCTCGGAATTGTAGGTCACCCGGAGCATGCCATCGCCCCCGACCGAGAGTTGTTGCTGTGCTTCCACTACAGCACCTGTGCTGAGCGCCGTGAAAGTCGCCAGAGGCCGTTTCCAAAACACAACCCCCTACCAAACGGATGTACTTTCCAGTACCTGCCTTTGGAATCTTCTGCTTTCAGTTCCGTCTTCTCCTGTACTTTCGCCTTACGCCAACGAAACTCTGATGGACTGGCAACTTTTCCGCATAGCTGGGCACATACTGGTAGAAAATTCGCCGGTATCAGGCTTCCACAAGCTGCTCATCAGCCATCATAAACATTGTCCCCTAGTGCTTTTTGGAGAAATGTTCATTTAATCGTAGCAGCGCTCAGTCAGTACTCATTGCTATATGATTCAACACATGTCCAATTTGTTGTTATTTGATGTTATTTGGCTATCTAATGCATTCTAATGCTACACCTAACACAATTTACCTCTACCCGATGTATCCCGATGTTTCCACAAAATGTTTCAATCATCCCAGGGTGGTCCGGCTCTCGAATCGCCTCTGGCTTCGATGGTGGCAACTCTTCGATGTCCTTGCAGGCGTCCTTCAAAACCTCCTTGCCTTCCTTGCCATCGTCGTGAGATTCACCTGACAGGGACGTGAAGGGTGTGATTCGGAACTTGAGTCACTTGAGTAAACTTGAGTCACTTGAACATTTCAAGAATGCACGTAGATCACATAGTCTCACCAGCTGTGTGCTTTTAATTCTGAAGGTGCGGAGGTGCTGTACCACAGCTGTGCCTTTGGATCCTTTGGGCATGTGGTGAGTTTTAGAATTTGGCCATGTGGCGAGTTTGCAGAGTGCGCATGATGCGACGATTCTTCTTGCTGTTTTTCCTGGCAAAAAAAAGGTGCGCCCGAGCACCAGAATGCCTTAGAGCCTAAGGAGCTACTGTGGATTCCAAATGCTAAGAGTCAGTGGAAACACATGGAAACCATGCAACCGAAGCAATGTAACATCGAGCAGTCCTTGGGTGGAATTCGTGACAGAAGCAGCAATCTGCACCATTTCTGCATCCAGCAGCACTGAAGAAGTAGAAGGTACACTCCTGGCGCACAGTGTCATAGAAACGTATCAGTCCCCTGTCCAATTTAGTCGAAACATAAATGTAAGAGTAGTTTCACAGAAACTAATGCCATAATTATAGGCTATAATGCTATGATGGCTATCATTCATTATCATTCTCTGATTTGTGGATTTTGTTCATACAGGTAGCTGCTAGTGGATGATAGTGGATGCTAAGTTGGACCTTTCTCCACATCATCGTTGCCCCGCCTTACAAGTGTCGGGATGCCCTGCGCTGCCCTTACTCTTCATTGGCTGAACCCCAGGTCGTGGCTCTAGGTCATCCAAACACGACCTTGGGTTTGACTTCATATGCAATGACCATCCACCCATGATCATGGTTGATCAGCAACAATTGGCAATAATATGCAATAATTGTCTTTTTCACCATTCCACCAATTTCTTCATTGACAGCTGCACAAGCAACCCCAAGGGAGGCGTCAACATTCTGCTATATGCATGTGCAGCAATGGCAGCAATGGCAGCAATGGCAGTGGAGAAAGCAGATCCAAGTGGCGGGTTCTTCTCCACTTCGACTTCCTGTCAGCTACAAAAAACGTGCTGCACTGTGTGGTTTCTCGCAGGAAGCCCACCTTGGAGGACTGTCCTTGGGCAACTCCCATCCTGCGGAAAGTGATTTGGGATGTGAAAGGTGCGATGTGCAAAGTCTGGCAACCCCGGGCCATCTTCAATAAATTCTGGCGGCACAAAGCAAGCTCCTTCGAGGTCCTTCTTCCTTAGACGGAGTCAGGTTTCTGTAAGCATATACTTGTGAAATCTGATAAAGCTCCTGGTGCCAATACCATTTGTCTGTCTCTTCATCCATGTCCTGTCACTGTGAGTTCACTTGTCACGCTTGCTGCCCAGCTTCTGGAAACGAGACCTGCACTATGTGGGAACAAGGTCCACCAAGCCGCATGAAGTAGTCACAGGCCTTGAGAATGTAGCAGTTGCAAGAGATTGCCTTTGCAAGTAATTGGCTCACCGGATAAAATCCATTCTGAAAACCAACCGTGACAGCATGACTCAGTTGCAGATGTTTCAGTGTTGCTTGGCCCTGCAAAAATTACGCGCATCGATATTCAAAAATGTATCCAATTCAGGCTAAACTGATTTGTGAATCGAAGTGCGTTGCTCACTCGTTGATCCAAGGATCAGCGGAACTATCGGTCCGTACGTACGCCGGGTCCTGTCTTGGAGAGACAGAGAGAGGCTAGTTACGGATAGGTTAGTGCAGCATAGTGCAGCATTGTAGACATGCATTTCCAAGAGATCTTTGCAGCACCGAAGACTATGGCTGTCCTGAAGGACTGGAGGCGCGGACATGTTGCACCTTTCGAAAGGTGTATACAACTCTTCATCGCTGGACACATTCTCCTCCGGAACATTGAGGAACCTGGGCACACGAAAGAGTTGGAACTGTGGAGGCTTCAACCAGATTCAGTTGTTCAGTCATGTCCGGCCAAACCCGACAGGGCCGAAGGCGAAGTCAGGCCAAGGGGAGAGTGAAGAGAAAGTCATGGGTCGGTGTAGTCCTAATAGAAGTGAAGGAAACATGTCTTCGTACTCACTGCAGTATCAAGTTGCGTATTCTTCACAGTGCAGGGAGGATAAGGCTGCACCTCAAATTGCGGGCCGCAGGCATCTCTGAAAAAAAAAGGTTGCACCACAGGAAGCTTGTTGAAAACAGCATCTAAAAGTACATAGTGTTACTGTGTATACATGTTGTACTATAATATTATATATATACATCATATATTCTGTAAATCCATAGAATATGAAGGTAATTACATAAAGAGCAGCATGTCTGTCTCTCCTTATATCTGATTCCCCAATCAACATTGCAGACACACAGGTGCACCTTGAAGTTCTGAAACTGGGACGCGATTTTGTCCATGTTGTGCTGGCTGCAAGTCACCAGCAGCAAACTGCTGGAAACTATATATCAGAACAGCCGGATTGAGGAACTAACTACATGATGATAGGTAGCCTCATGATTATCATGAGTATGGTTATCTTGTCTTTGCCAACATCTATTTTCGTCCATCTCCGAGCCAAAATGGTACAGTAGACTTCGCAAAGTCATGGGATCCCAGGGTATTGCTTGTCATGCACCGCAAAAGCAATCAGAGCACCGGCGGCATTTTCTTTGTGGAACTGTGCAGCTCGATACCCTGAGGTCAACTTGAGCACCAAATCTTGAGCACTATTCTTTGAACATATTCTGAGTGGATTGAAAAATGGGGCTTGAAACACAGTTTCGTTGAGAAGTGTTGAGTATCCCGGATGTATCGAAGTTTACATACAGTAGAGATCTGTAGAGTTTGAGGATTATATCATATCTTCTCTTATGCCTCTCAGCTTCGGCGTCGTCGATCTCTACTTCTGCCTCCCGGCACTTTCAAATCATCCAAATTCAAGAGATATTCAAACACACCGTTTGGATGATTTTGAATACATTCATTTTAAAGATCGATCATAATAAATCATGACGAATCATACCCTCTTGTTCACATCAAAATAGCCTGTAGAATGGATGTGTATCCCCATTTATCCCAAAATATTGCATTAAAAAATATGGATCCGCAGCATTTGCCTAAAATATCAAGAAAAATGCCAAGAACATGGGGTTTCCCAGGTCCTACACCTCGCCCATGGATCAACAGATTAAGGTGCACACTGCGGCGGCGCCGATCTCGACTGCGACTGCGGCTTCGCCCTCGAGCACGCATGCCTGAAGGCGCCACGAATCCATGGGTAATGGATATGAGTCAAATTGAAGCACCCAGCAAATCACAGATATATGTTTAAAAAAGTTATTGCTGATATCAACTACTATCAACTCATATACTTACTCATATCTATCATCCAATTAAATGTTGGAGAACCTTTACAAAAAAATGTCCATACTCCTTCGTGGCCTCTGCCAGAATCTATAATTTGCTTCAATACGTTCCGAGCTTGCCAACTGGTCTTCGGAATGTCTCACCGGTCTCTTGCATGCCAGATGCCTGTGAGAAAGTCTCGGCTTGTCCTTGCCCCAGGGCGTGTATTTGCGCTTCTTAAGTTCATTGATTTAGTTGGTGTTTGTGACAAACCGAGTGCTTTCAATGCCATCAAAGCGCTTTCAGATGCTTCCAAGTCTCATCTCCATGACATTTTCTCGAGGTTTCATTGGCTCAGGCGGTGGCCTAAGGGCAAAATACCAATTGGAGCCAGCACAACGAATCGAGCGGTTTGAGGATGTTTGAGGCATATTGTGGCGCAGTTGGCCTGCCACGATCAGGCTTCCAGTCTCCCTCCAGGATCATGCCATCCAGCACAATTTCTCCTTTCCTGGCTCGACTTCAACACACGACAAATGGAGGTTTCCTGAAGTTGGAGTACCCCCAAATCATCCATGTTAATGGGATTTTCCATTATACATGGGAGTAAACCATCCAGCTAGTGGGGTACCATTTGTGGAAACCCCCAGATGGAAACGAAAAGATCTAAAAGCAGCCGACTGCACTGTACTGGTCCTCAAAGCTTGATAAGCGCCCTGGGCAACTTCTCCACTAGCGTAGCGGACCACGGGTTTGTCAACGCCGCGTTGGCCCATATGGCAACCTACAACCTGGGTACAGAAAGGACTGTACGGACACAGTGTGAAATAGCTTACATTGCTGATGAGATCTGATGAGTGAGTGTGGCCATCCTCAACTCCAAAGTTGATCTCCTTTGATCAGAGACTGAAGAATGGAAATGATCATCGACCAGCCTCACCGAAACGCTCCATGGCCTTTTTGAGGTTGAGCCTTGTAGATCAAGCCATCAACAAAAGGACACAAGCAGCGTCCAGCCCCTGCCTGCTCGTCCGGTCGGTCGTACCGCCAGTGATTTCAATGGCGACCTTCTCCATCACCTGGATCCAGTGCTGCAGAGCTGCAACATGCTGCAACTATTTATGGCTTCTCGCTTCAGAGTCCCCGGCCTCGTCCACATTGTTGGAGGGAAAGGCAAAGATGCTGGATATGACAGAAGAAATGATGAAGACTTGAACATGTTTCAGAATGTTTCGTGATGTTTTAATGGCAAAATTAGAGTATCAGTTCAACAGTGAGAGGACTCAATGGAGTTGGGTTCATTGTTGGACGGGAGTCGAGCCCTTGAAGTTGGACATGGAATCCTGTTCTTATCGGGCTTGATCTATCCCATCTTGAGGCACATCAGCTGCCAGTGCCGAGCAAATCCAACAGATGATTATCTGCCCAGCAGGTGTGTGTTGCTGCAAATCAACCACAGCCGTAGTTTGAGGGATGGAAGCATTGCTATCTGACTTTTCCGCGCGTAGTCGCACAAGAACATCCGTGGCAATGCACCCTTCAAGTCACTCAGTGACTCTTCATGTGCGCTGCAAATACATAACGCTTGCTACATTCGGAAAGATTCACAGAATCTGGCACTCAGATGCACTCAGCATAAAGTCCAGTCTGATCAGTCTGATCTCACTTCTTGGACAGGCCAAAGACCGTGTAGTACCTGCCGGTTGGTCCGGGTGTCTGAGCCAAAAAGTCTAACTGCCAGACTCAGCTGCACACGGGATGTCGGAGGCAACAAAAGTCATCAGGACTCGACCTGGCACATCTGCGCATCTCTGCTTCAACTTTCTAGTTACACCATCTACATCAGAATAATAGCAGGAACATATGTTATGCGTTCAACCTGCAGGCTACTCACATCTCTCACTTTTGGCCAAGGGGTGCTCGGTGACAGTCATCTGCAACCTCCATCTGTACTGTCACAATGGTGCCTTTCTTTCCAGTGACTAGGAGGGAAGATGCTGTGCTCGTAGGCCTAAACTGGAGAAAAACAGGTGCGGGTGGGGCGGGTGATTTTTGGGCTTTGAGCCCACTTGACTGCAGTGTGTCTGCAGTTTTCACTCCAAACCCCATGTTCATGCGCACAACTGTGCTACCAAACATATGTTATGCGTTCAACCTGCAGGCTACTCACATCTCTCACTTTTGGCCAAGGGGTGCTCGGTGACAGTCATCTGCAACCTCCATCTGTACTGTCACAATGGTGCCTTTCTTTCCCACACTGCGCCATGTCACCCATCTACCAGTGTGAGGAGTCTGCAGGGAAGGTGGTCCGGTGTTCATCACATCATGTAGGGCTTGTCCATGTGCATAAGTGATGTCGCTGGCAGCCCGGAAGAGGATCTTGAAGAGTTGGTCTGTCTCGGTATTGATCCAAGATGCTTTTATCAGCTCCATCTCGCTGAAATTTTGTCTGGAAACTTGGTCACTGATGTTGAACTCTGATTGGACCCATTCCAGGTGAAGGTGCCATCCATGTTGTGCCACCACTCGCCAGACCAGGGCGATCAAGTTGCAGATCGCTGGATCCTTGCAATAGCCTTTCCGCAGAGCAAAGAAGCCAGAAGCGTTGTCGATGAATGACATCAGCATCTTGGACGGCAATGCTCGGCAAGCCAAAAAGGCCAGAAATTGTGCCACAATCTCCAGGAAGTAGATGTAGGCTTTCCGGGTGCAAAACCTCTTGATAAGCCATGGTGGTATCGTTCCTGCTGAGTAGTATGTGACGCCATCAAAGTAGATGACATAGCCCCAACCATTCTCATAAGTATGGCATTTGGTTTTGTGCCATTGTTTGGGGATTTGTTCTGATCCCGGTGAGAGGGTCTGACCGTTCAGGACGAAGAACGCGTCTGAGTACACCACCGTTGTTGGGTGTTGCATCTGCCTCGGTATTACCCGTGGCTGGACCTCTGTCAGCAGGTTCGCAAGTGTCAGCAATGCCGACCTGAGTGGTCCATTGAGCTGATCTCCATGATCATCATTGGACAGTCCATGTGCCCTGGCATACAGAGGTTGGAGAGCCGCTTTGCCAAGCTGTCCAAACAATGTGGAGGTGAGGAAGACCAATTTTCCAGCCAGTCTGTGGGCGGCTTCACTCTGGAGCAGGTTGTCATCCAAGGCCGCTTTGATTGTGGCCCTGGCTTTGTTGCAGCGGTCAGGGTGTGGCGAGAGCGTCACCATGTCGTCGTCAATGGTGAGACTGATGCCAAGGACCTTCTGCGATGAAGCTGGCGGTAAGGCATTTCGTTCTTTCATCCTGAGACCCAGGACACGTGCCAGTCTGGTGAACTCTTCATACCCGCTGGAAACTGGTGTAGCTGGCTCCACTCCGATGAAGTCGTCCACATAGTGTCCAACTGCCGTGGCCAGCAATCTTCTGCTCAAGAAAGTGATGCTGTCTGCGGCCCTGTTGAAGTTCCAAACGGAACTCACCGCTCCGAAGGTCAGGGCATGGTGTTTCAACAGGATTGGCCCGTGAGGGGTCATGAGCACACAGTAGCAGTCCTCTGGGTTCCTCACAGGGAATTGTCTGTAGGCACCGTTGAGGTCCTGTGCCCACACCATGGCACGTTGCTGGGTGCCAAAGTCCGTCAAGGCCAGGTCGACGAAGGTCTTGATGTCATGGTGGTTGGGGGACATCGGAGACAATCACGGTGGCATTGTGACCTGATCTCCGAAAGTCCTCGCATCTCCGCACCTTGTCTGTCTGCTGTACGCTGAAGCAGAAGCTTGCGCATATGTCCTGCTTCAGGAGTGGCTGCAGAGGCTTGTTGCCTATGGTGGTTGTCTTGACCGGCCACCAGTCAGGGGCCTCATATGGCCCAGACATCCTGCCCTTCTCGAGCTCTGTCTCGAGCTCCTTGAGCATGACCGTCCATTGTGGGTCAGTGCGGTTGCTGCGCAGCTTGGCTAGGGTGTAATGTCTGTTGTTTCTCATGAAAGAGTCTTGTGAGACTGGATGTTCATAACGGCCGTCGGCTCGAGGCATCCAGCCCGCTCCTCCGTGGATCTTGCCTGTGACTGCGAAGCCTTGTTGCAGGTCCTCGGCAAGCTCAGCAAGTCCTGGCATCCTCACCTGTTCCAGGAGGTCCAGGAGAAGTGGTATCTGTGCAATTTGGGAATGCTCTTTGTCCCAGTAGACCTGTGCGACATGTGGTGGAAGACTGTCCCACCAGTCGGAGGTTTCATCCTGGCGATCCATAGCCATCTGCTCGATCTCATTGACTATCTCAGTCCGCATCCGGGGCAGACTGCCTCCTATGAGCCTGTGCAGGTCTATGCACTGTTGCAAGCCGGGCTCAAGTGATGGGGCCTTTTGTATGGGGTGACTGGCATGCTTGGCCAATTCCCAATGTTCCCACATCGAGGAGGCTTGGGCGACGCAGACCTCATCACGTGGCCACTTTCCCGGTCCGAGCATTGGTTGCATAGGCCGGATGATGACCATCATCTGTTGCAATGCTGTGTTGTGTGGAGCTGGAGCAGGGGTGGCAGCAAGCGTCCCCGTCATCGCTTGCAGCACGAGCATCATGATGAGTCGAGCCGATCCCAAATGCCACCCGTTGGCGAGCATTCTGTGTCTCGCTCGCTCGGGCACTGAGGAAACCTTGGTGTACCCTTTGGGTAGCTGATGTAGTTGCTCTTTTGCCTCAGCCCCGGGGGTAGTCATGGAGCCATCTGGTGAGTGGAGCATGGCTTCGGCTGCGTATTGCCATGGGGCGTATGTGCGCCCGTCTTCCAGCCAGCGAGACCTCCTGTGCCGGGTCCACTCTGCCTTTGAGCTTCTTCGGTGGAGCCCTGCCGGACTCTGTCGGTGCTGGAGTTGTCAGGCAAGGTACCCGTTTGGTGTGGGCCTCCACGTCCTGGTGAAGTCTGAATCCTTGCAGATCTAGCTCGGCGGCCTCCTGCATCTTGCCATCATAGTGAAGCCTGTAAAATTTCTGGGATCTGGTCCATTTGAGCTTCTCACCGGTCACGGGGCTGTGCCTTGCTTGACCCCAATCGATCCTGGTTCACCATAGCCTTGGTCGATTGATCAGGCCGTGGTCTTGCGCATCCAAAACCACTGGTTCACAATCAAGGCGGTTTGAGAAGAAGTCTGCCTCTCCCTTGTTCATCACTACATTCTCTGTGATGTAGCCAACTCGCCGGTTGGGGAGGCCCGCCTCGATCTCGCGAGCGAAGGAGCAGTAGGCTGTGAATTTCTGCCCCTCGGCTCCTGCTGACCCAGGTGGATCAGTTTTGATCCGTGAAAAGTCTGGACACGGAGGTGCGCTGGCAAAAACGACTAGCATCTCGCCCGTAGGGTCATGACGCCTGACAAGGTCGGCCACCTCCTTGGGGTCGTCTTTGAGAAAGTCGCCTCTGTTCACTGCTGTTGGATGCCGCTCCTTCAGAACTGCATTGCAATCATCATCAACTTCCCATGCAATGTACAGGTCGATGGACTCGACAAGCCCATCAAGTGCCAAAGCTGCCGTGCCGATCCCGTCGAAGCAGCTCAACAAGATGACCTTCTTGTTGATTTTCTGAAAGGTTTGGCCTGACCCGGCCGATGGTGGTTGAGTGGGTGGCGGCCACCCAGTGTTGTCGGGTGTCACAGAGGCCACCTGCTCTGTGACCCCGTGCTGTCCCTATTTAGGGGAGGTCTTCCAATCTGAAGACCATGCATCACGCTGCCAACCTTGCTTGTCCTCCTGCTTCGAGGAGCTCTGCCATGACACTGATGCTTTGTCTGCTCGCTCATAGGGGCCCCAGGACCACGGCTTTGTCTGGCGCGTGTAGGTTGGGGCACGAGTGCCCTTGCCCGACTTGGTGTTGCCCTTCCCCTGACCTTTGGGAGGTTCCGGCTTGGCAGTGGCGTTCGTGGAGGCCTTCTTGATGATGTTCGTCGGTTCTCTGTTCATACACTCGGTGAACGAGTCATAGTCTCTCATGATGGCCGTGGTGCTCTCAGAAAATGTGCGTCCTCCCCGCATCTCCAAGGCAAGCTTCCATGAAACTGACATCCAAAACTGAGCCAGTTGGTCTGTCTTGGCTGGGCGACTGCGCACCAAGCGCACCAGCCAGTCGAAGAAGCTGTGCACGGCCTGCTCCGGTCCCATCTTGCAGAGGATGAAGCACCACCGAATGCTGGCAAGACCATCCAGGATCGCCAGCACGCTCCTCGGTTGCCAGGGCTCTTCCGGAGCTGCCACCAATTGCTCACCGGTGAGCGTCAGCTTGGTCACTGAGCGTTCCCGCTTGGCCAGCGGGTTGGGCTCGCCATTGGCCTGGAAGGTCCTGATGGTCACCAACTCTCCCAGGAGGACCGGGGTGTAGGACTTGCTGGTTTCGTGCTCGTGGAGGACTCGAGCTATGACGCTTTCTGCGCCGATCAGCTCCTGCACCGGGAACACTCTGTCCTGTCCCCCGATTTGCTGTGACTGGTAGTCTTGGAGGAGCGCGGACCATTGCCCGGGCGCCAGGTTCTTCGGGACCTTGTCTTCTGTGGCCGTGGCCGAATTGCTGGCAGCTGTTGTCGAAGGTGCCGCAGGCTTCGGTTGCATGGCTGCATGTGTGGCCTCCCATGACTGTTTCGCCAAGAGCCACATATGGAGGAGGATCGCCTTGGCAATCGGTTTCTCATTTTCCGGAATGGTCAACATTCCACCATCTGGCTTGGACCATCCCTGCATGAGCGGCTGGATAAGAGTCTGTTCCAGGCTGCTCTCATCCTTGCTCAAAAGTGCCAGGGTTGCAGGAGTCTTTATGCCACGGAGTTCCAAATATTCGATGATCGGACCCCCGGCTGCGGCATCCCGCGCTATGTCAGCCAGAGACAGCGGCGTCAGAGAGAGCACCATGACGGCGGCCCGACTCAAACTAGTTGTCTCAGCCAGACTGAGGTGACCTCATTGGTTCAATGTGCAACCACACGCATCGTGTGTGATCGGCCAAATGAATCGCATGAGTGATGCAGTCATGGCGGTTGAAAAACGACCCGTGGTTGAAAGCAAATAAGATGAAACAGCAAGCCGCACATGGCAACGTGAGAAGAGGACCTAAGTAGCCTGAAACAAGAGGAAGAGGTCAAACTGAATTATGAGGGAGTGACTTCCTTCATATCTGTAGCGGTGAGATATGCAACATTATCAACGGCATGCATCGAAGCTGTTTTGATCCGCGTGCGCAAAGAATGCTGAACCTCCTGCTGGGACAGCTACTCATCCTCAGCACTGCTCGCCGAGGTCTCGTTAAAGGCTGAAACGCCCGAGGATGCTTCACTGCTCTCGGAGCTTGAGTCCTCACTCATGTTAAAACATTTACGGCATTTACGGGATCCATCCAGCTCATTGGATGTCCGAAGGAAGGTGCGACTTCCGTATCCCCAGCCGCATGGTGTGCGCCACTTGAGCGGCTCGTTGTCGTCCTCGTGCTGAGAGGCTTTGTGTAGGATCTTCGCTTTGGGTCTGAAGACAAAGGTCTGCGTAGGCCGTTGTACCGCTTGTTTGACTTGGGCCAGCTCTGCTTGGAGGCCTCTCACGGCGGCCGCAAAGGCCTTGGGGCGGGCTGCTGGTGCAGCTGGCCGTGGTGCAGGTGTGCTCGGAGCTGCACTGAGCGCAGGCTGGTTCACCTGCAAGTGTATCGGCTGATTGAGAGAATGGTCCCCTGCCAATACTTGTTGTGGCAATTGTGGCACTCTTACCAAGGCGCTGTCCTGGGTGTACCTCAGAACTGCGGTACTGGTCCAGCGTCCCAGTAGCTGTATCAGCGCCAGCTCAACACCGGAACTCGAAAGCATCTGTGCTCCTGCGATTCCTGTCCATCCGGTCCAGGTCTTGTCAGTGACGTGCCAGTCTGTGCAATGACAGATCTGATGGCTTCGATGAACTCCTGTTTGGAGGCTGTACGGCCTTCTTCACCCGGGAACAATGGCAGCTGACTTCTGGGCGCACCGGTGCGGAATGCTTCCAGACGTACCAAATGTCGTTCAGCACTGTGCCACACGCAGAGCCCGTGAACACGGGTATTGCAGCTGCAGGTCAGGGAACGTTCAGTAAAACGTCCCCTGTGGTCTGTCTTGTGGAGTGGGATGCTCAGGAAGACCTCCTTGGCTTCCAGTCGTAAATCACAGGCTCTTGCACTTGCTAGCTCAGACTCACGCAGCATAAACCACAGGCCAATCACAGCCATGTCCCTGCAGTGGTCCGTGTTTCCAAAGGAGAACGGTTGTTCATCCATCGATGGTGGGAGATTGCCCAGGAGGAGCCCGTTGAAGGCATCTTTGAGTTTGCTTTCTCCGAGGCCTCTCTGTATAGAGCGGATGCAGTCACGGATTCCCAGCTTGACCATGGTGGGCACAGGCGTCTGCAGTGCCCGCTGCTGGTGCCCACACACGGCCTGGTAGTAGACCGCGGCGCTGCGATATCCCCCCGCCTTCAGGGAGGCTCCGAAGCACCGTATGTTGTGATTGTCCAGCGGGAATGCCTGGATCTCCCAAGCTCTGCAGATAGCCAGGTAAGTGCGGACCCTGGCTTCCACTGCGGGATTTGTTGTTCTCGCGAGGACGTCCTGATCCAGAGCCTGCAAGGAGCGTTGGCGCTGGTTTGGCCTCGCTGCTTCAAGAGCGGCTTGGATGCTCGCTCTCTTGCCCATATGCCTGACTGGCAAGTCGATGCGGGCACCATCCTGGCTCTCATCCCCCGGGCCCGCTGCCGGAGGATGGGCCGCTGCGAGGATGGACTCCAACTGCCAGTGGGTCAAACCCGAGGCGTGGAGTTCGTCATACCTCAACGCCAGCTGGTTGAGGCTGACGACACCATGGCGAACTAAGCTCGGCGCCAGGTGTTCTAACCCGGCTCCTCTGAGAGCCTCCCAAACCTCTCCTAGGTTTGACATGGAAAACAGCCCTGATGCCGGGAGCTGATGTGGATACATAAATGAAAAATCTCTGAAACTGAGTTCAATAAATGCCAAATCATGACAACGTGGAATCAACGACATGCGTGAAATGCAGCAAGGTGCAACATGAGTCCAAGTCCACATGTGTCCGACAACCTGTGAACCTAACATCATACCTGAAGCAACTGAAAGGAAATGCACAACAGTGACAACTGACTACAACATCATTGACAAGGTTGAGAAACAAGGTGAGAGCAGTGTTCCACATGAAACTGCATGGGTCGACTGGTGAAGTCGCTCATACACTCACGCACATGTTCTTTTATAGCCATTGCTCGCGCGGGTGAGAGCGACATCCCTTGGTGTGCTCCTGGCCTGTGTGAAGCAGCCCAGTGTATTGAGCCCGATCGTCAGGTGGTACCCAGCCATGAAGTGCCACCTATTCTCATTGGGTTTGTTGTCCAGCCATGGCGGCCTGTTGGATCCGATCTCGATTCCTCTCAAGCAAAGCGGTCTGGAACCGCCACTGGTAATTCTTCAGGATGGTCTGGATCAGCGTTAGCGTCGGGAACAAGTCATAATATCTCATTTCCTCTATGGTGAGGATGGCGGCGTACAGCCTGCGGTCTGCCTTGAGACCCGACTGGTCATCCTTTTGGAGTCTCCACCTGATCATCTCATCGGTGGCAAGTTCCATTTCTGCTCGCAGAGCCTCCATGGTTTGCTGGACTTCGTGGGCTGATGGGTGATCGTCTCCTTCCGTAAACACGAAGTCACCCTCTGCCATCGCCGCGACTGATTCGCTGGCTAGTGGACCCAAGATGGCCATCATCTGGACCAGGGTCAAGCTCAAAGCCCTCAATGGGCTGTCGCCACACAGGAGCATGTGGTCCATCGCCGCGGTGAAGGAAAGTAGGAGAAGCCCTACCACCGGCGACGAGGAACCATCCGGAAAACAGGCGTTCCGGGCAGACTGAGCGTCCACAACGCTCTCCATGAGCGAAATGGCTAGTGCAGCCATGGCTCAGTACTTACCCTTCACCTGATTTTTGGGCTTTGAGCCCACTTGACTTGAGCCAAAATGGCTACGGTCTACATCAGAATAATAGCAGGAACAAAGGGAAGAGGCTTTGCCTCAACACTGGGCAATCAACCTAATCAACCCTTACAAATAGGGTTATTATATGGTATTATGGTATTCCACTTTAATTTAATCCATCTGTATCCAAGCGTTGAAAACCCCAAATACCCACCAGCTGACGTTGAAGTCACCGGTTGGCAAGCCTTCTCCCACCGCGACACCAGAGACTGACGAAGCTTTGTGGGAAAGCCAAGGGAAATCCTGGCACATTGATGGAGGATATGTAGGTGAAGCCTCAAATTTGTGGGCTGTTTTTTTTCAACTTGATTCATATCCCCAAATATCATCAAATATCCCCAATACAGATTCCCAATCAAAGACAAAAGGTCCGCCTCACAGTTCTGAAGTTGCTGCCGGCCAGAGTTCCAAGCACAAATGCTTGCGATGGCACTTTTCTCACCTGTCAAAAAAGGAACCAGCGGTCATGTCAGGTAGCGGATTGACATTGATACGGAGGGAGCCTTGGTAGTAGGTCAAGGTGTATGGATCCGACCTCACAGGTGACACTCCCCGATCAAGCAGTTCAAACCTGCCCATTTTATCCCATTTTCCTGGCCCAGTTGGTGGTCCTGTGGCCCGCACGCTGAGTACGGCAAAGACAACATTGAGACGTAAGGCCTTTGATCGGTGCAGACTCTATGGCCATTTCTTGCATGTTCTGGGTGTCTAAGTTGAGAACGAGAATCCCTTCTGGAAGGTTGACGGATCTTCTACCACCTGGCAGAAGCATCTGCAATGCTCAAAGCCTCTAATGGAAGTGAGTTTGGCATCCAAAGCATGAGACTGACTGCTGCCTTCATTTTGTGGGTCTGGGGGTCAATGTCCAGAACTGCCAATTTGAGCTCCATCTTCCTGATTCTCAAGAAAACATACTGTATATACTGATATACTATTGTCCGCCAGCAATGCTCCGGACCAACTTGATTTCCTAGCGTTGATTTGATACCAATATTTTCTTATAGACAACTAGATGCAGATTGGATGCTGTGAACTTCAAACAGCAAAATCCAGCAAAATGGGCAAGTCGAGCATCGACGCATCTTGATACGCATAGGCCACGGTGTTTGGTGCGATAAGAGAAAGACCTCGAGCCCAAACCTGTCCCTTCTCAGGCTCCAGGTTTACCTCAACATCGGACTGAAATCTGCGATTCTATTTGTTTTCGTTGATGTTGATTCCTCTTGACTCTTCGTCTTATTCTATTATCTTCTGTTTTTCTCAACTCTTCTTGATTCTTGCCGATTCTTCTTGATTCTTCTTGGTTTGAGGTTGTCCAGTGCCATCCCGTGTTCTGAGATCTCAACTGGATTTGGGTCAAAGACAAGGTCTTCACCAACCAGCTCGCCATACATTGCCATTGCCTGTCCATAGTCCCACAGTCGCATCAAAAAAGCACTAAGTCACTTGACAAGAATTTGGTCTGGATCCGAAATCTTCTGGCCAGAATCTTTCACACATATCTGATTTTCAAAACAAGTCAACACATCATCAGATCATATCAGATCCAGATTGATCCAGGTACCCGGAGTTACCCGACCTCCTGTTCGACAGAAGCTTTGGGGTTCATGTCATCTGTTGCAGGAGATGCCCGAGCAGCCTCAGGAGTTGCGGTATGTAGCTGTGGGTCACTCCTTACATTGGTTATATAGATGTGTACGCAAAGTACAATCATATGTACATGTGTATATCTACATGTGTATGTGTATGTGCAGTATATTCACGGACATTCGATATGTAGTATAGTATATCAAAAGCACTAACAGTATATTTATTGAAATAATAATAATATACATATACGACAAAAAATCGCCACATGTCATGCATTCTTGGGACACCCTGAGAGTCAGGCCAGCACGAAGCCATTCTTGCTGACTTTTGTCGTCTGGGCGAATCTTCAGGACTTAGTCAACAATCCTGTAGTACTATGTGTATATATATATACATACATATGATTACATATTATATATATATATGTGTATATAAATGTTCACTCCAAACACATATATCCATCCATATATATATATTATATGATATAATATATATATATACGGTATTATACGGTAAAATTACGTATACATAGCATTGTGATTATGATGTAGTTCATCAGTTCATCATAACTGACCCATGCACATTGTCACGGCAAACCTTTGCGATGCACCTCCAAACGGGCGACTGCACTGTCAGTGAAGCGGAAATTGCCTGTCGCGTGCTGGAAACTACGACATAGGCAGATCATAGGCACAGAAACATAAAAGTTTGACGTCAAACAGCCAAAAGATTCGAAAAACGTGTCCCACCTAGGAGAGAAATGTTGCCTCAAGATGTTTGTCTAAGAAGCTGGTCCAAGCATCAGAGGCCCAAAAAACTGAAGGCACACTCTCCGAAAAGCCACTAAGGCTGCCACCAAGGCTACTAATGTCTGCCAACATGGAGTTTCCAAAGGACTCTGTGGCGGTCTCAGATCCCTTAGCCTGTGCAAGAAGGAAGAATGGATTCATAGCCTGAGAGTTGAGGCATCTTTGGAGGACTGACCACATTTCCAAAGAAAACTACGCGCCAGCTGATTCACAATACCTTGCCGCTAAAAAAACTATCCCCGCCTTGTCGGAATACAAGACCATGATCCGATTGGGAGGGAAGGACTGGATCGACATTTTGTGGGCCTGCCAGTCAAGACTGTTGTCGTGTCTGACCATGCTGTCTGCCCAGCCCTCCGACCTGGTTGGTGCAAAAGTCCATTGTAGGGCCCCAAGACAAGGCCTCAGTTGCTCTTTTTTGCTCTGTTTCTCGAATTTGCGAAGCTGCCCAGTCCACAAGTCACAGGAGTCATGCAGAGTCATGCAGGTTGAATCGCTGCGCTTTTTTCAGGACTGCAGAATTCGTCAGTCCCGGCTTCTGCAAGGATCTCACCGTCCTTCCAAGCAATGTGGCGTTGTGTTGGCCATCAAGCAATCCCAGGAAAAAAAGAATCCAGAGAACACCTTGGATAGGACCCTGGTTTTGTCAGTTTGAAACTCAGATGCACTGCTGGTATCCGAAACCAGTCAAGTCAACAGGGGAGTTTTTACAGAAGTCCTTAGCAGGGGAACAGTATCATGGTGGAATGCTGTGCAAATAGCAAAAATATCCACGGAATAGTCCGCGACAAATGCGCCTCAACAGCGTTTTCCTTTTTTGCCTCCACGGCCACGTTTGTGGCCCCAGCCACCCTTTCTTCGCCTGGTGCAGAAACGGGGAAACCCCAGAATTGCTTGTTCAGCGCAGTTTCATAAAACAGAAATCTTCTTAGCATTTGATGAAAATGCAAGGAATTGCTGACAAGACAAATGCCCTCTTGCCACGAGACAAAGCCTGGAATCACAAAGAAGACTGTCGGCTTGAAGATTCTCCTAGACAGCACGCTATGCTACTTGCAAAGTCTAAAGCGAGATTTCACATGTTATCCAGTCTGGCTCTCAGAAATCATGCGCTTTGTAGCTCCTCTGGAACAGCTGTCACCTCACTTGGCTCTCTGACGTAACTGTTGGGCAGCCGCATTGTCTTCCATGGTATCAGAGTCAGCTGTGGCTCTTTAGCCCAAACCTGGCAGCAAGTCAGGGGATCTTCAAACTGCTGTCGGTGGCTCATGGTGGCTCCCATGGGCACCTCTGTGGAAAACTTGGGATGTATCCTTCTCTGCAAGTCCAATAGATTGGAGAAACACCTGCCAGTCTCCAGCTGTCAGATCCAAAAATCTGCTATGGTGAAATCCAAAGTCTTGGGAGCTGTGAAAGCCTCCAGCTGTCTCATCATGTCATTCATGTCTCATCTCACCGACAACAAAAACACAGCTGTCACAGCTTGCCTAAGTTGATGCAAGTGGAGTGCACTCGCAGGCCTGCACTGTTCCATGGACTTCCAGAGATGTCCTCTTTCTATGTGCCTGACACAGGTATCGTGAAGCATTTAGACGGATTAGAAATGATTAGAATCTAGACACACAAATAAGCAACTTCGGCTCTCTTGCAAAGCTTCGCAATCGCTGATCATTTGCCAAGGTGCACAAGCTTAAACGCCCGTGACGCCATTGCTGAGCGGATCATGTCTCCAGGTGTCTTATTTTTTTCGGTACCCGCGCTACTCATGGTGTCATTTCTTTTCCATTGACGATGCTTCCTTCCACTCATGTCCAGTTAACTGTGCTGGTCGGACTTACACACTGCCTTCCACCTTCACCGCTTGAGCACGGCAAAAGGCGCATGGATTGAATGCAAAGTCCTGAGGGAAACGTGTGTGAAACATGCTGGAAATACCTCAGAAAGCCAGATTGCGCACTTCGTAGCGAGACGTTTCTTGAAAATCTCTGTCACCCTAGAACGCATAAAAAACGATCTGCGTGATTAATGGGATGTTCTCTTATTTCAGTCTCGTTTCGCTACTGTCAGGATTCTGAGCTCCTCACCATCTCTGCACCTCGAACGCCAGAGGTTCCCAGCACTGCAGCCCGAAGCCTGGTGAAGGGAGACAGCCGATATTCACCATAGGCTATGGCGGCTATGGCGGCTACGGCGGCGCGGCATCGTGACTCCTCGACTCCTCGCCTGCAGTTCCCCTTCCTTTGGTCATCTCTCCAGGCGATGGCAATTTGACGCCCGTCTGTTCCAGCTACTACTGGTGCGAATGCCTGGTACCAGCACAACCCAAACACCGAGGCAAACACCAAGGCAAACACCGAGCACATCTGCGAATCTTCAACAAATGTTCTGCAGATCTTCTGCACCTTTTCTCCAGGAGCAGTGAAGACTTCCAGCGGCGACAGCTCCAGGTTTCCAGCCTTCAGAATTGGCCAAGCCGTGCCAAAGGCACCAAAAGGCACCAAGCTCAGAAGCTGACTGCTGAATCGGCCAAGGCACCTCTCCAACGCTGCCAACCATCAAAGCACCAGCGTTGCCCTCGGAAGTCACAACAGAATGCAGGCTACGGATGGCCCGGATGGCTACGGCGCTACGGAGCCGTAGTGTTCAAAGAGCAACCAGCTACGGCAGAACATGGCAAAACTATGCAGAACTTCAGGTGGTCCTTGCTAATGTCGCGGAAGACCACCGCCACCTTGTTGGTGTCGAATGAGGCGACCTCGATGGCCATCCGATGGCCGTGGTAAGTCCAGTGATGTGGTGTAGTCCTTGCTGTTGCTTTGCTTCGAACAATCTGAGACCAACGCATGAATGTCCGCAGCTTGGGCAGCATTTTCACCAAGCAACAAGTGGGGCGCAAATTCAGCAGGAGCATGACACTCCTCTCGAGGCAAGACATCTTGGCCTTTTGATGCCAGATCACATGTCTGAGTCATGTCTGCATGTCCTGGCCAAGGCCGATGTAGCCCTCGTCGCAAACACAGCTTGCACCTCAAATACCCACTTTAAAAAAAAAAACTAAAAAAGGTGTAGGAATCTGTGGCTTGTCATCTTGTCGCAGGTCTCAAAGCTGGGTTTGTACTGAGGAATCTGCCTTGGAAAGTATCAGCGCAGGAGGCATGCTTACCACAATAAAGCTGATCGCATGTTGTGCCTGAAGAATATACCGCAATGCAATAAGCCCTCCATTGCCGGACTCACAAATGAACAAAGACTCAGGACTCACCTGACTTGGAGGTCTTCTTCAGCATGGAAAGCATGTCGCTGGAGAACGACGCCTTGGTGCAGGAAGGTCGAGAACAAACGCTCCTTCTTTTCAGAATATTTAATAATTCCAGGTAAATGCACGTTTTCTATGCAATACCAAATCTGCCATTATTGGGTTTCAGACAATGTTGCGATAAATACCTTGAGTTTCCTCAAGTGCTTCTTTGTTTGAAGCGACCTGAGCTTCCCCAGAATCCGAATACTGCAGCCAGTTCCGTCACGGATTGAACGAAGACATACAAAGACTTGATGGCCATGAAGTTCTGAGCTCCCCGGCACTGCGTTCTAAGGCCATCTTTACATTTGCATTGCTTGCCTGAGAGATGGAGTCCTGGCAAATGGTGGACATGATTTGACATGATGACCATGACGACTTAGAGAAACTCTCTTGCTGACCTTGGAGAATGATTAGGATTTTTTGTTACAGTATACTGTATCTCTTCTGAGATCAGACTCATCTCAATGTCATGTCAGTGATCTTGATTGCTGAAGAAGGCTATGAGATCAAGATATGAACTTTGCACCGTGTCCTTCAGTCTCTGTTCCTCTTTCTCATGTCTCGATTGGATACTCTGCTGTGCACTCGTTGCCAAGTTCTGGAACCTGGCTGTCCACAGCTTCAACAGCTCAAACAGAATCAGAAAGATTATATAAACATCATTAAACATCTATCATCATCTGTCAAGGCCTACACTTGCCCTGCTGCACCTCGACAGTGTCTTTGTGAGAAATTCCACATTTTCTGCAACGGTCGCATCACCTACCTTGCTGAGGGTCAAATGTGACTAATGCGCAACCCAACTAGCGCTGATACCTATCCAATCAAAAAGAAAAGCTGCCAATTAGTCTGCTATAAGAAAGAGGGGAAAAAAGGAACCTGAACGCAGAAGAAACCACAAAAAGTTGACAGCATGAGAAGCCAAAATAAACTCTGAAGCCAGATTTGCTCACGCTGCGCCTGTACAGCGTCTGCATTTCTTGCAAACACTTCCTTATCTTTCCCAGAAAAGGCAGCCAGTCACAACTTTCACAATGCCAGAAACGACCGCCCTTCTTCTCCTCCTCCTTCTCCTTCTCATTCTTCTAGCAGTATATATATATATAGCCGAGTGAAAGAATGAACATGAGGTGTCATATATTATATATATTCTTGATTAAACTCTCAGCTGTCCGAGTAAGACCTCTGAGGAGTGCACGTGCCCTTCGTCTGTGGCTAAATGACCATCAGACCAGAGTTTCGCCTGTGATGCACGCAATCTATCCAAGGTGTCTTCAAACATCTTCCAAACCCAGTCGGGAAACTCAAACCATCTCAAACCTATGTTTGAAAATCAGATGATCAGCTGCTGAGCCCCTTAAAATTCCTTTAGATTCCTGAAAATTCCTTTAGATTCCTTAAAATTCCTGAAAATCCCTTTAAATTCCTTTAAAATCCTTAATTGTTTTTTAATTCTTTAAAATTCCTCTTTTTTTAATTCCTCAAAATTCCTTAAAATACCTTAAAATTCCTATGTTTGAAAATGCTCAGCCCCTCAAAATTCTTTAAAATTCCTTAATTTTTAAAAGTCCTTAAAAGTCATAATTTTTTTAAATCCCTTAAAATTCCGTAAAATTCCTTAAAATGCCTATAAATTCTTTAAAATTCTTTAAAATTCCTCAAAATTCCTTAAAATTCCTGAAAATTCCTGAAAATCCCTTGAAATTCCTTCAAATTCCTTCAAAATCCTTCAAATTCCTTAAAATTCCTTCAAATTCCTTAAAATTGCTTAAAATTCCTAATCAGCTGATCAGCTGCTCAGCCCCGTTGTGGTTTTCCAATTGAAGGACTCCCAGCGGTTCAATCATTTTATAATCATTTTCAATCCCTCAACTCAGACAGGACAGCCAATATTTCGTCCAAGAATTGGATGCCGTGAATGATGCCGTGTGTCTTCTTCAGCTGTCTTCGGCTCCCTTCCAAGCCTTCAATGTGGCACTACTCAGCCGGGGAGCAGCTGCAAAAAGAGTGGCAACCAGAAGGCTGCCTGCACCAGGCGTTCTGGAAAACATCTGCGGTTTTTGTTGTTCCAAATGGAAGGTGTTAAAGCCATCTAAGCCCTGTGCCAATGGCCAAAGTTGGCCGAATGTGGACAGCATTATCAAGCCTTCAGAGAGAAATCGGAAGTGCATTCTTCTTATTTACTAAAGATGAATTGGTCCTTCACTACGCTTTTTGAGTCTGATCGGCCAAGACTGTGTATTACTTTCTGTGCCGCCAAGCTAAGCCCTTGACAGACCAGGCATGGCGTTGGATGCCCACCAGGCCTACCTGCAAAGTCTCAAGAGGTTGCCCAGCTTTCCTTCATCAAGACCCCACAGAACAAATGTCAACAAACATCAACAAAAATCAGCAAACATCAACATCAGCAAACATCAAAAGCTAGTAAACCCTGTAGAAAACTGCCCCGAACGAGCCAAATCTGAAGCAAAGCCTCCTAGGAGAAGCGCCCCTGAAGAAGGGGGGCCTGGGAAGCTCATGGAAATGCGGGTATTGCTGGTGCAGACTCCATGGAGAAAATCAACAAGAAACAAAGAAAGATGATCTTGAAAGATGCTCCAAATTCCAATATATTCCAATGTGAACATTGTTGGGTTTCTTGTGGTTCCTTCAGCTCACAAAACTCAGGTCCATTCTGAGATAGCGAGTGGATGCAGGGACAGGCAGGGCTTACGCCCGCCCCTGTGACACCCTTTAGCAGATCCAACATGTCGCAAGCCAGAAATCATGCGACTGTGCAATGGTTATGTTGTGAGAACCGCTTCAGAGCAGACGTCAAAGCAAAATGTCGCGTGTCCTGATACACGTGCAGCTTGCATACAATTACTGTACATAGCTTTGTTCCAATCGACATGAAGAGTCTGGTGCTTCAGGCCTTCAGGCTGGCTTCCGCGACATCTTTTGATTCCCCCACTGTGGTCGTCTCATGGAATCTTCTTCCCAGAACCTACGGACAATCACTGACAGTATTGTACAAAAAGCGCGGTGAACCTGAGCACATCGTCCATTCAGGTTCATTGCGGCACCCTGGGTCCGCAGCCAGAAACTTGTGCTGGCATCACAAAAGTCAGCGTTGGCAACACTTTCGTTGGGCCCATCTTTGTGAGCAAAGCAACAAACGCTTGAAGAAAATAGATGGTCCAACCTCCAAGGAGTTCTGTTTCCCGGCCAGTTGTCTCATCCATCTTCCAGTTTCATTAACATGTCCACGTTGAGGACTCTAGACCCTTGCTATCACCACCCATAGTGCAGCAATCAGAACGAAGTGAATGGCTGGCACGCTCGCAGAGCCTCGGCAGCAAGCTTAGCTGAGGCTAGAGGCAGCCAGCATCTTTGCTTCGGCTGGTACCTTTCTCACCCAACCAGTCTCTCAGCAGCCTACCCAAAGTGAAGGGATAGAACAAATCTGGTGGCAGTGACAATGGCAGTTGCGGTCTTGGCGGTACCTCGAAGGCATTGCAATGTCCGACCATGGTTCCACTCGCAAAACGGCACTTTCTGATGTTTCAAATTGATGTTACAACTTGATGTTACCTTGTGTGGCTACTTTTAACATCTTTGAACAAACTTTCTCCGCGCCTTGACATCCATCCTTTCCGAGCCCGTGTGAGTGAATTTCACCTCGGGTTGCACCTGTCTCTCTCTTGATCTGAGGCTCCGACGATGAATTCAGTTGTCTCTACGACACAAGGCGCCCGTGCGGTGTATGTGAATTGAAAAGATTGCCTGAGACATCAAGACCAGCTGGATTTGTGGCACAAAGACTGGATTGTGATTCATAGATGCTTCCCTTGAAATGCTTCATGCGGAAGGTTCCTGCCAACGTCCTTTGCTCAGTCTCATGCTTTTTCGTTGCGTCGGCAAGCGTGTAGGAAAGTGCTCCCTGCCTAGGCAAAAAGATGTGTTTGCGCAATTGAACAAGAGTATGGAATTTAGTCGGTATGTCCCGGACACGATTTCATTCTCTTGTGCTCGACTGCCGCGATACTTGGCAAAGTTATTTGGTTCCAGGCTGATGGGAAATACGGCTCCCCACCACCTTCATCTGAGGGTTTCCAATTTTCCCAAACGATGAGTAGATTACCTGCAGCGCGAACACAGGAGGCAAAGATCAGATTCCTCGTGGAAACGGACACTCAACGCGAAGATTCAATCCCTTTCCAGCGCTGTGGAATCTGCCTCTAGCTCAACGCCCACAACGGCACCAGTGCATGTAGAGGTGGAGGCCTGCAAGGCTCATCTATACACTTAATACACCCGTGTTAAAGATTGAAGAAAGTGCCAAGGTCATTGGGTTTCAGGATTAGTCTTCATCACTTTGTATAGTGGCACTTTGTTTATGTGGAGACATGTTGGTCGCCTTCTGAGCTGCGTCAGAATCTGTGAACGCAAGAGTCTCTGTCCTGGATCACTTAAACGAGCAGTGTCCAGATCAGAGGGCCGACTGGTGAAGTCCAGTCGTGTGAAGGCGGTGACATCACTCTGCTAAACAAAGTATGTCGCACATTTTTCCGTTGCCACAAACTGTACATAAGAGTTGCATATTTGAAACTTCCTCAGTGGCAAATAAAAGTGGCCAATCCCGGCCAATCTAATCACCTCCAGCAGATGCTTAAGCAACCTCTCTCTGTCGATAGGTCAGAGACCCCGACTTCAAGACGGCCGCAGCTCTGCTGACGTGTAACAAACTGCAGCTCATCACAGCTCATCGCAGCTCCGTGTTGGGGGCTTGGAGGTACTGTAGGCTACTCTTCTTCTTCACCTTCCCATGTCCAGTTTTCTCCGCAAAGACAAATGATGTGATTGCAACCTTCCGTTCTCACTGTCGCAACACCACAAGAGGGGCAGAACTGAATCCCATCCTCAGGGAGCTGTTCCTGTAGGATTTCTGCACAACTGCTACCTTCGTGGTGCGTGTGGATTTTGCACCGGAAACAGTGGTCCGAGTCACAACATGCGGTTTGTGTCTTGGGATATCGTTTCAGTATGGACAACTGAAGGACAGCACGGAGTCCATCATCCTCAACCAACTTCATGGCTGCCATCACCTTCTTGGTGAGCTCCGCAGGGGTTTCCTCTTCGTTTTCTTCTGCGTGGCCCCAAACCTCTAGGAGAGCTGCCACCAAGTCATTTGCACTCATGGAACCCTTCTCGAAGAGATACCACTTCTCAACCAAACTTGACCAGTCCTCCAGCTGGGCAAAGGCTGTGTCTGTCAGTTTTTTGCGCGCTGACTCTTCCTTGCCTTGTCCGGTCTGCAAGAGGGTGCCTGGTTCGTCACATTCTGCACAACGTATTGACAGGAGGTCTGCCGCATTTTCCCTCCAGGTCATCAATAGGTCGCTTTCTGAAAAGTTTTGCCAGCAAAATGGAGGCACAAATCCAAAGCAGCTAGGACAGCGAATGGTGGGAACTGAAAAACGAGTGTCAGCAATGACAGTAGCCACATGCTTCTGAATGCAAGGATGGCAGAACCATCCTTCACAGTTTCTGTCTCTGCAAAGATCTCCGGCACTCTGCAAGCATGGAGCCATTTCCAAACAAATCGCACATCTGGAAAGCTCTGATTTTGTCTCCATTGAGTAGCTTCCATTCAAGCCGAAATCTGTGATTTTTCGTCGCACAGAGGCACGCTCTGCGATCCTGCGATAGGAGATGGCTAGAACCGCCTGAGCAAGTTTTCGATTGGAAAGAAGTGACTTGGTTTTGGATGCAACAGGCACAGGCTGCAGAGGCTTTCGAGCAGGCTCCGTCATTGCGGATGGCATTGCCTGCCCCCAATCCACCTGGACAGCCTGGACATTTGCCATCTTTTCACCTTTGTCACTTCTGAAGCGCAGCAACACTGGAGCCATCACAGGAAAGATGTTGACCGCGTTTGTGTCCGGTGGAGAACTGCTGGATCTCTGTAAGGACGGAGCTTCAGCCTGGTTCAGTCTCTCCTTCACAAGTCGATACATCACATGACCGCCCTGGTTGCGTGCAAAGGCACACAGCTGTTCAGCATTCTTGGGTTTCTGCTGGTACTTCTCGACGTATGCTGAAAGCCATTCACGGAAGGTTCTTTCTTCTCTGGACATCATGCCGTTTGGGCGTGCCTCTGGCACATCCTACTTGAGAGTTCAAATGTCATCATCGAGTGAAAGCATGAAAAGTGAAGGATCCAGTGAAAGTGCACCAAGAATTGTTATGGCGATGGCATGCAATGCTCTTCTCTTGTTGGGGGTGAGCAGGTGAAGGCGATTACATTTATATACATCTCTCCGTCCACCACTCAAAACTAAGACGTCCAGAAAGTGTTCGGGTCGTCCTTGGACTCTCTTCCACCTGCATAGCTCAGAGACAGAAATTTCTTTTTGACTTGATGCAACTGACACTCTGGCCTGCACAAAGTCCGCTGAATCTTGAGCATCATTAGGGACACTTCCAAAGGCTGCGATTTGGGTCCAAGAGGACCCTGTGCCTAGACCACGCAAGAAATTTGTAGATCACAGTACACATTTCATCATCCTAGTCCTAGTCTTCTGCCATTAAACTGTGAGACACTGCGAGACTTGCTTTGCGCGGTCTTTTTTGGTCATCCGCTTCAGATCCGAGCTTCCAAAGGGCAGCATTTTCAAGTAGCCTTGACCCATCAAAGTGCAGATCGCTCAAGCTGGAAATCGCCACTCGACGGTGCTCCACAGAACAAATCGAAGTGGTAGAGTGACTGAGATTGCGCGCCCACAAAGCCATTTGCCAAAGCAGTACCTGCCACTCTGCAGTTTCGTCAATGAGACAAATGAATGCAAATGAGCAGTGTTGGGGCACCCGCATCCCCATGTCAGAAAACAGTTGAAACGCTCAAACGCTCAGTTGTGCATTTCAGGATATTTCAGGCATCAAATCCGACAAAACATGCCTCCACAGAGTGATTTCAGCTCAGCACGGGTCAAATCCAGAATGCATCCTGTGCTGGTGAGAGCGGCTGGGCCATCGCTCTGCTTATTATAACCCCACAGCATGTCAATGTGAAAATCTGAGGGGTGGACCAAATATGGCGTTCTCGCCAAAGTTGATTTTCACCTGGTGAGCTGCCACTGATGAAACAAACAACCCGTCCAAGACCATCAAGACCCCGATAGCAAAAAGGCCTAAAGTGTTTGTTTTTCGTAAATCAAATGTTACAAGTTTGTTCTACTTCATTTCCACTCTGAATCTTTGGGTATGTGACTTTAGATGCAAGACCTGCAAGACCTTCACTTGACACCTTTAGTTGAAACCATTTTGGCACCTCTCAGATATTGAGAACCGCCCGATAGGGTAAGGGTCCCCTACTGGCCCTACTTGTTGAAGGGGGGAGGGCTTCTTTGGGTCATTTAGTGAGGCGGGGCCGTGGCAGAACAACAACCGACAACAACAACACCGACAACACCGACAACACCGACAACACCGACAACACCGACAACACCGACAACACCGACAACACCAACAACAACAACAACAACAACAACACCAACACCAACACCAACAACAACAACAACAACAACAACAACAACAACAACAACAACAACAACAACAACAACAACAACAACAACAACAACAACAACAACAACAACAACAACAACAACAACAACAACAACAACAACAACAACAACAACAACAACAACAACAACAACACGCAACAACCACAACGACAACGACAACAACAACCCAGCAACAACAGCAACAACACAACAACAACAACAAATAACCACAACGACAACGACAACAACAACAACAACAACAACAGCAACAACAGCAACAACAGCAACAACAGCAACAACAGCAACAACAGCAACAACAGCAACAACAGCAACAACCGCAACAACGGCAACAACAGCAACAACAGCAACAACAGCAACAACAGCAACAACAGCAACAAGAGCAACAAGAGCAACAAGAGCAACAGCAACAACACCAACCCCAGCAACAGCAACAGCAACAGCAACAGCAACAACAGCACTACGACACGGACGACGACGACGACGACGACCAGCACGACTACTACTACGACTACGACGACGACTACTGTTGCGACTACGACTGAACCCCCCTTGAAGGAGCCCCCCTCCCGTAAAGAAGCAGCCTCCCCCACCCCTTTTAAAAACGCCCACCCAAAAAAAGGCCCCCCCCTTCCTAAACAAGCAGTCCCCCCCTTAAAGAAGCCCCCACCCTCTCAAAAAGGACCCCCCCCTGGTTCAAATAGCCACGAGGTCTGCAGATATTGCGGACCTCTCAGAACCTTACCGGCCCCTTTCTACCGAGACCGTTATGCAGCATGTTCAAACCTTCTGGAACCCGCCTGGCTGCCTTGTGGATCACCCTGGAATCTATACATGTACATTGTTATTTGTACATTACGTACATATCTACATATTTACATATATACTGGCAAAGGTCTATATATATATATTATATATAAATTATAACCTATCAATGTCGCCATTGGGGAACAACGTCTCTTGAGGTAAAAAAAAATGTTCGACAACGAACGTGCCTCTTGGGTGTCAGCAGTGCTAGCATTGAGCAATGCGCATTTGCCTGCGATCCACATGCTATCCACACGAGCAACTTGTAGGTCAATCGATATGTACATATGTCGTCTATGTGTTTATGTATATGTTTGTCTACCTGTCTGTCCGTCCGTCTGTTTGTCTATCAAATCCAATCTAATCTAAATCTAAATCTCATCTTATCCTATCTTATCTATGTATCTATCTTAAGCTAATCCTATCCAGTCCTATCCCATCCTACCTATCTACATGGGCCTCATGGGCCCTGTCTCACCAAAACCGATGAGTCTTGGAACGGCCTCCAGGCAGAATTCCTGGAACCGTGGCATCTCGGCGTCCCCCGTAGTTGCAGCTCCCATCCACAAGGGTACAATCAGCCACGAGTAGCGGCCTTGGCAAACAGCTTCAACTTGAACATCTAAGGAGCCAGAAACGAATTTGGCACCTGAGGTTTTGGCAAACCAGTGATGTAGCCTGGATTTCCCGATCGTGCCTTCAGGAAATTCAGGTTTGGATTTTTGAAAAAATACAAAATTAGACAGTGGTAGAACCTACAGTAGCTTCAAGGCATGCTTCTGTGGTGATTTGGGTTGGTGCTTTAAGTTATGTGTCCAATGAAAAAAACGTGGGACCTTAGAACTTATACATGCGATCGCAGGAGACACATGCTGTGGCCACTTTGGTTCCAACGATGCACCTGCAGCCCAGCCTGGGCTTGAAAACCCTTGGATAAGGCTTTTGATGCTACTTGGGTAGAGCAGAAAACTACGTGCCCGAGCCTCGACCAGCTGACTTCCCGATTGGTCCTTCACAGAGAACTCTCTTGCAATGGCTCAACATGTGCTCGTGAGTCCACACTGCCAAGGCTCCTGAAGAAAGTGAACACTTCCTCCTTGCTGCACGCGAAGCGACTGACAGCCTCACCAAAGGTTGAAAGGCCATTCAGCTCATCCTCAGCTCAGCTAATTCCTGGCCTGCGCTGTAGATGTCTTGGATGCTGTAGCTCACATTCACTTTGGTGATGCTAACCACCTTGACCGGCAGCAAGGCGCCGTCTTTAAACATGTTTAAAATACAAAGCCTCCCAATGAGTCACTGAGTCCTGTGCATCTGAGACCAAACCAAAGTGAAACTGGAAGTGCCTCACTGTCGAACTGGAGACATCTGCAAAAACCACAGCAGAACTGATTTTGTTGCAGGAGCGCAATGATCAATCACCACGAAACTCAGTCGAGAACAAGTTCTCCACTGCTCCAGTGCAAGTGCAAGATCCATCACTCCAGTGCAAGTGCAAGATCCATCACTCCCTGCATAGGCAAAGGTTGCAATGCGTGACACTTTTGCAAATACATCGGATTCGGTTCGGGTTCGGCCTGTTGCAAAGGACGAAGCAGCAACGGATGCGTTGCCATCACAGCCTTCAAGAGATACTACCTCGCGAATGGCTCATGAACAAGCAAGCCAAAGTGGGGTTTGCAAATTCTCTCGCTCAACTTAAGAGCACCAACACCACGACAGCGTCATACCAATCCCAGAGCTTCCCTGGCATAGCTTCCAGAGTTGAGGCTGCTGCACTTCCATCAACCTGCTGGAAAGGAGCTGTTGCACTCTGGACGTGAAACCAACTGGACTTTGGAGCCGATTCAAGCCGAGACCGGGGCAGCTTTGCGCTGCACCAGGCATGTTGTTGGGATCAAACAGCGCTCCCCACAGCGCATGTCCTGCAGGAATATTGAAGTTGGGATCTAACAGAAAGGTATTTTCTAAGATCAGAAAGGTAGCTCCCGAGAGATTCTATAGCTCCTCAAGCCTTTTTCACATCTGCAAACGTCAAGCTTTGTTTCACTCGGAAGCTGCTCCAACAGCACTTCCCACACTTCAGAAGGCTGCTTGTTCACTGTTTATTTTCTTTTGTTGGTACAGAGGTTCTATCTAGGTTTCTCTCCTCTGGGAGGTACTGGCGATGGAGCCTTGAGAAGCGGCACACAAAAACTCAAGGATTGTACAGAATGAATCAAAATGATGACAGAATGCTGAGGTTCTGACATCCACGTGTCTAAGAGCTGCCTGTGCCAAAGGATTTTCTGCTCACGGTATAGTCAACAGTGTTACGAGTAACACGCTTCAACGAGTCTTACGTTTGGCATCCTACAATCACTGATAACATGGGCGAGCGCCTAGGATTCAAAGTCGTCGTGCATTGGGTCGCCAGGTCCACTTGCTTCCAGCATGAGGTCGAAGGAACTTCGTTTAGAAACCTGAAGAGAAAGAGTCTTCACAAGGCAGTCATGCTCGTAGGCAATGAATGGGTATCACTGTTATCAAAATTAGGATTAGGGGCTATAGTCATCCCCAATAAGCCAATTTACAGTCGTAAACCCCCTTACTAACCAGTCAACACGGCTATTTTTCGTGGCTCATGCTTGCAACCTGGCCAGTCACCCAATCGCGGCACGCGCACCTTACGACTTGACCGTTGCCAGTAGCACAAGTACCGGAAGGACCAGCTGCAGCAATGGACAAAGGTCTGACAACCTGGAAGGGGAAGTTGGTTGTGGGACACATTTCGCAATGAATAGAATGTTTTGTAGGCATCCTTATCAATATGATTCAATATGTATAATATATTATATGTACATATAAGAGAGAGAGAGAGAGATTTACTCATGCATATGTGGATAAGAGAACCCGTGCCGAAGTATTAAAGTAATTATCCCATATTATCCCCACTTGAACAATCACAATTGGATTCTTTTGTACACAATTAGACATCCTTGCAACCCATGCACCTCCAAAGTTGCAGTCTCCAGGGTTGATGCTCCTAGAATGAGCTCAACCTCGGCTAAGGCAAGCGTTGCGAAATCCCTAGTGCCCTAGTGGCCTGATGGCCACACCTCCATCCCCTCAGTTGCTGGCCGTTCCTGAGAGCGCAGAATTGACCTTCAAGATGTCTCCAGTTTGATAACCGCGCACTGCCACGTCTCCAGTGGCCTCAGCTTTGACGGAGAAACACCCCCAAAACCATTCGACGAATTCGACAGACTGCGTTGCTCTCAAAGGTGCACGATGTGTTTGGAAGACACTCTCCTGACCTTTGTAAAATACTTGATACTTGTGATACTTTTGACACGGCAACAAACCCATGCCACGAAGAAGCTGCCTATGGTCATGGAAGATGCTGTTTGCAGGGGCAGCGCGACAGCATACAGGGCTTGAAGACAACACAACTACAGGGTGGCAAATTTCAAGATCTTCGTGTCAATTTGTGTGTATGCGTCATTAATAATAAATGTATGTGCACATATTATATATGATATATAGAGAGGGAGAGATGGATAGATGTACAGTGCTGTATGTATATATATATATATATATTATATAATTTATATATATATATATCAAGTGTATATCAAGTGACACATTGTCAACAAGCAGTCTGTCGGCTGCTTCGATTCCTTGCTGCCGGATTCATGTCTTTGGGGCAACGGCTACTGTAGAGGTTGGAGGACTTTGCTCCTGCATTTGTCTCGTGGCTTGTTGCGATTCGGACATGAAGAGTTTCACAATTCCGCCACCATCACGTAGACTGGGACCTTTGGGACGAAACTTGCCATGTTTTAAATGATAGCAGGCTGGAATTTAACACGTTTGGGACTGCAAGCGTAGGTCCTGAATGATAGCGTCGATCTGAGAGGATGAAAGGATGGCCTGGAGTTAGCATGTCAGGATGGTCCCTTGTCTTTGTGACAGGCACACCAAAGGGCCAAAGGCTCTGCTCAGTCGCATGAAGAACTCTGAAGGCTGTGATGAACTTGCAGGAATGTGTGGACTTCAGAACATAGCAATCGGTTTGAGTAAGAGTGAAACTTGTTGCAAGCAATGCGACAAAGATTCAGGTCGATATCAAGACGCCTCTTTCTGGAACACCTCTCCTTGCACCGCACCTGACACATCTACACCGAAAGTCTTCAATGTTCCTCCAAGGAACCATGCCAGAATCCAAGTGGGGAAACGACTATATACTTCAAAACAGAAATATCAGTAATTAGATATGGACTGTTGAGTTATCAGAGAGTATCTACCAAAGCCAATGGATCCAATTGATCCAATTGATCCAATTGGTATCTTTCAAATTCTTTCACCCGTTGAGTCGTCCAGTCGTCCCATGTGCTGAGGAGCTGTTGTCCACAGAGACACAAAGGAGTCCCCTGAGGTCATCTGAGATGACCCAAAGGTCAACTCGCCTTGGGGCGCAAAGGCTGGGAGACGCCGGGAGATCGTTTGGATCGTTTGGATATCGCTGAGGCATGCTGAGGCGGCAACGGATTCACACTGTGCAACCAACTCTTTGAGTAGCAGTACTGGCTCGCACTCTGGGGGCCTCTGGCGGTTTGTAGAAACAAGATGAAACAAGACCCAGCAAAAGAACCTGGAGAGCCAGAGGAATGATCGACTTCGTCCAAGGTATCGTGTCACGTGTCTTTCCTTGCCTTCTGGCAGGCAACTGAAGCCACTTGCCAGTCCCTCACAGTCTGGATCACAGCCTCAGTTCATATAACTTGTTCACGGTGCCATACCCTACGACCACGCTGCCAACGGGTTTCTGGGTTGCCTGCAACAATTTACATCACACTGCGCCTGACAAGAGTGCTTCTCCAACATCAAATTCGCTGAGCCATTACCACACTAGAACTGGAATCATGATCCGATTGATGAGATCCTTATCATGAAAATATGTTTTAGGAATTTCATCAGGAAAAAATATCCCACACCTGTGTCAGATCACATGTACAGCTTCCGAGGGTTAGTGGATCCTCAAGGTTGACCTCATCCCAAGCACCATCTTTCCATGCCATCTCAATCTGCAAGCTATGCGCAACATGTAACATGCAATGTATCAACATTTGGCAACCAAAAGATAGTGTCCTTTGAACACATCCACCAGTGCATTTTGCTGATACCATGCTAGCTAGTCACTTCACAAGAGCAGATCCGTTGTTCCAGGGAAACATGGGCAGTGCTTTCATGTTGAAAACTTTCAACTTCTATATGCTCTTGAGTTCACCGCCTGACCAATCTGCAGTTTAAGTTTTGCACACTGGGAGCGCACAAAGCAACCCCACACCTCCAGAGGTCACAACTTCACCAAACAACATATGGTCACTGTAGAGGAAGCAACTGTGTGTCCTATCTACAAATATAACCACGGTATACCAAAGTCAAATGGACACGTCCACAGTTCTCCATAGAATGGTCGCAAAGAAAGATGGATCCAGTTTTGCAACCTAACAGCAGTGCAAGCAACAACAAAAAGTTTCTTTGTGATAGCTCATTTCTGCTTTGAAGGTGCGGTCATTTCATTTTGCACACATCTCTGCACAAGCTGTTTGAGTTTCGTGCAAACCTTTTGGGACAAAACCATTTCATCGCAGCAATTGCCAAGTTGATTTCTGTGTTTTGTGTCCGGTTAGTCCGTGTCCAGTGCAAGTGTTAATCATTGCACTGTCAGAATCGTAAATGATCAAAGTGCCCTTGGAATTGGAATGGGCATTTGGCTCTTTTGCCCAGCGCATTCAAATGCTCTTTCGTAGAGAGTACGTTTTCACCACGACTAAAACAAGGTTTCCAAACCACGACAAAACCCGGCTGCGAACCACGACAAGGACCAAAGATTTTAAGCACGATTGGCAAACACATAATCGACTGTCTGCGTAGCCAGCAATCACACTCTTAATGAACTGGTTTCATTGTGTTTTAATCAATCAAATGCTTCATTACCAAAAAAACAAACAACACAAACTACTATGAGAATATATAATTACAAATATATATATATACCTTACTATATATGCATATTTACCAATTTATTAAAAAAAAAACCATTGCCAGTTGCGCATTGTTTTCCATTGCCAGTTGTGATGGATCTGTTTGGCATCAGTGATTGAATCCTGCTTGATGGTTACGTTTCACCTATCAATTAGCCAGCTGACCATTTTGGTCAAGTAGAAATCAACCCTAGAGGTTGAGAAAAGCGGAACAGACTGGTCACAAAATCGAAATATACAAACAGAAGCAGAAGCAATGTATGGATATAAATGTTGAATGCGAAAAGAAAAGGTTCATTGTCATTCTCAGGACATCAGCATGGAGTGAAATCAGCAAATCTTCTTCCGGTGGATGATTTTCTTCACCTGCGCCGACCAAAACTCTTTTCAACCCCAGGAGTCCGTAAGCTTACAGTGGAAGCCTTTTCCCCAAAATCCGGTACAAATCCGTAAACAATCCGGAAGCCTCCTCCCCAAAATCCGGTACAAATCCGTAAACAATCCGGAAGCCTCCTCCCCAAAATCCGGTAAAAAAACCGTAAAAAATCCGGAAGCCTCCCCCCCAAAACCCGGTAAAATTCCGTAAGCAATCCGGAAGCCTCCTCCCCAAAATCCGGTACAAATCCGTAAACAATCCGGAAGCCTCCTCCGCAAAATGCGGTAAAAAACCGTAAACAATCCGGAAGCCTCCTCCCCAAAATCCGGTAACAATCCGTAAACAATCCGGAAGCCTGCTCCCCAAAATCCGGTACAAATCCGTAAACAATCCGTAAGCCTTCTCCTCAAAATCCGGTAAAGATCCGGACTCAATCCCGAAGCCTCCTCCCCAAAATCCGGTAAAAATCGGTATCCAATCCGGATGCCTCCTCCCCAAAATCCGGTAACAATCCGTAAACAATCCGGAAGCCTCCTCCTCCAAAACCAGGTTAAAATCCGTAAACAAACCGGAAGCCTTCTCCCCAAAATCCGGTAAAAATCCGTAAACAATCCGGAAGCCTCCTCCCCAAAATCCGGTAAAAATCCGTAAACAATTCGGAAGCATCCTCCCAAAAATCCGGCACAATCCGTAAACAATACGGAAACCTCCTTCCCAAAATCCGGTAAAAATCCGTAAGCAATCCGGAAGCCTCCTCCCCAAAATCCGGGAAAAAATTGGCAACAATCCGGAAACCTCCTCTCCAAAATCCGGTACAAATCCGTAAACAATCCGGAAGCCTCCTCCGCACAATGCGGTAAAAATCCGTAAACAATCCGGAAGCCTCCTCCCCAAAATCCGGTAAAAAAACCGTAAAAAATCCGGAAGCCTCCCCCCCAAAACCCGGTAAAAATCCGTAAACAATCCGGAAGCCTCCTCCCCAAAATCCGGTAAAAATCCGCAAACCATCCGGAAGTCTCCTCCCCAAAATCCGGTAAAAATCCGTAAGCAATCCGGAAGCCTCCTCCCCAAAATCCGGTAAAAATCCGTAAACAAACCGGAAGCCCTCTCCCCAAAATCCGGTAAAAATCCGTAAACAATCGGGAAGCCTTTTCCCCAACAACCGGTAAAAATCCGTAAACAATCCGGATGCCTTCTCTCCAAATTCCGGTAAAAAATCCTTAACCAATTCGGAAGCCTCCTCCCCAAATTCCGGTTAAAATCCGTAAACAATCCGGAAGTCTCCTCCCCAAAATCCGGTCAAATTCCGTCAGCAATCCGGAAGCCTCCTCCCCAAAATCCGGTACAAATCGGTAAACAATTCGGAAGCGTCCTCGCCAAAATCCGGTAAAAATCCGTAAACAATCCGGAAGCCTCCTCCCCAAAATCCGGTAAAATTCCGTAAACAATACGGAAGCCTCCTCCCCAAAATCCGGTAAAAATCCGTAAACAATCCGGAAGCCTCCTCCCCAAAACCGGAAAAATCCGTAAACAAACCGGAAGCCTCTCCCCAAAATCCGGTAAAACTCCGTAAACAATCCGGAGCCTCCTCCCCAAAATCCGGTCAAATTCCGTAACAAACCGGAAGCCCTCTCCCCAAAATCCGGTAAAAAACCGTAAACAATCGGGAAGCCTTTTCCCTAAAATCGGGTAAAAATCCGTAAACAATCCGGAAGCCTCCTCCCCAAAATCCGGTACAAATCCGTAAACAATCCGGAAGCCTCCTTCCCAAAATCCGGTACAAATCCGTAAACAATCCGTAAGCCTCCTCCCCAAAATCCGGTAGAAATCCGGCCTTAATCCGGAAGCCTCTTCCACAAACTCCGGTAAAAATCCGTACACAATCCGGAAGCATCCGGAAGCCTCCTCCCCAAAATCGTTTAAAAATCCTTAAACAATCGGGAAGCCTCCTTGCCAAAATCCGGTAAAAATCCGTAAACAATCCGGACGCCTCCTTCCCAAAATCCGGAAAAAATTCGTAAACAATCCGGCAGCCTCCTCCCCAACAACCGGTAAAAATCCGGAAACAATCCGGATGCCTTCTCTCCAAATTCCGGTTAAAAACCGTAAACTATCCGGAAGCCTCCTCCCCAAATTCCGGTAAAAATCCGTAAACAATCCGGAAGCCTCCTCTTCAAAATCCGGTTAAAAACCGTAAACAATCCAATCCGGAAGTCTCCTCCGCAAAATCCGGTCAAATTCCGTCAACAAACCGGAAGCCCTCTCCCCAAAATCCGGGAAAAATCCGTAAACAATCGGGAAGCCTTTTCCCCAAAATCCGGTACAAATCCGTAAACAATCCGGAAGCCTCCGTCCCAAAATCCGGTACAAATCCGTAAACAATCCGGAAGCCTCCTTCCCAAAATCCGGTAAAAATCCGTAAACAATCCGGAAGCCTCCTCCCCAAAATCCGGTAAAAATCCGTAAACAATCCGGAAGCATCCTCCCAAAAATCCGATACAATCCGTAAACAATCCGGAAGCCTCCTCCCCAAAATCTGGTAAAAATCCGTAAACAATCCGGAAGCCTCCTCCGCAAAATGCGGTAAAAAACCGCAAACAATCCGGAAGCCTCCTCCCCAAAATCCGGTAACAATCCGTAAACAATCCGGAAGCCTCCTCCGCACAATGCGGTAAAAATCCGTAAACAATCCGAAAGCCTCCTCCCCAAAATCCGGTAAAAAACCGTAAACAATCCGGAAGCCTCCTCCCCAAAATCTGGTAAAAATCCGTAAAAAATCCGGAAGCCTCCTCCCCAAATTCCGGTAAAAATCCGTAAAAAATCCGGAAGCCTCCTCCCCAAAATCCGGTAAAAATCCGTAAACAATCCGGAAGCCTCCTCCCCAAAATCCGGTACAAATCCGTAAACAATCCGTAAGCTTCCTCCCCAAACGGAATTTTACCGAATTTGGTGGAGCAGGCTTACGGATTGTTTACGGTTTTTTACCGGATTTTGGGGAGGAGGCTTCCGGATTGCTTACGGATTTTTACCGGATTTTGGGGAGGAGGCTTCCGGATTGTTTACGGATTTTTACCGAATTTTGGGGAGGAGGCTGCCGGATTGTTTACGGATTTTTACCGGATTTTGGGGAGGAGGCTTCCGGATTGTTTACGGTTTTTTACCGCATTTTGCGGAGGAGGCTTCCGGATTGTTTACGGATTTTTACAGGATTTTGGGGAGGAGGCTGCCGGATTGCTTACGGATTTTTACCGGATTTTGGGGAGGAGGCTGCCGGATTGTTTAGGATTTTGGGGACGAGGCTTCCGGTTTGCTTACGGATTTTTACCGGATTTTGGGGAGGAGGCTTCCGGATTGTTTACGGATTTTTACCGAATTTTGGGGAGGAGGCTGCCGGATTGTTTACGGATTTTTACCGAATTGTGGAGAGAAGGCTTCCGGATTGTTTACGGAATTTTACCGAATTTGGTGGAGCAGGCTTACGGATTGTTTACGGATTTTGACCGGATCTGGGGGATGCGGCTTACGGATTGTTTCCGAAATTTTACCGAATTTGGAGGAGGAGGCTTACGGATTGTTTACGGATTTCTAGCGGATTTTGGGGAGGAGGCTTCCGGATTGTTTACGGATTTTTACCGGATTTTGGGGAAAAGGCTTCCCGATTGTTTACGGATTTTTACCGGGTTTTGGGGAGGAGGCTTCCGGTTTGTTTACGGATTTTTACCGGATTTTGGGGAGGAGGCTTCCGGATTGCTGACGGAATTTGACCGGATCTTCGGTAGGGAGACTTCCGGATTGTTTACGGATTTTTATCGGATTTTGAGGAGAAGGCTTCCGGATTGTTTACGCATTTTTACCAGATTGTGGGGCGGAGGCTTCCGGATTTTTTACGGATTTTTACCGGATTTTGGGGAGGAGGCTTCCGGATTGCTTACGGAATTTTACCGGATTTTGGGGAGGAGGCTGCCGGATTGTTTACGGATTTTTGCCGGATTTTGGGGAGGAGGCTTCCGGATTGTTTACGGATTTTTACCGCATTTTGCAGAGGAGGCTTCCGGATTGCTTACGGATTTTTACCGGATTTTGCGGAGGAGGCTGCCGGATTGTTTACGGATTTTTGGGAGGAGGCTTCCGGTTTGTTTACGGATTTTTACCGGATTTTGGGAAGGAGGCTTCCGGATTGCTGACGGAATTTGACCGGATTTTGGGGAGGAAGCTTCCGGATTGTTTACGGATTTTGACCGGATTTTGAGGAGGAGGCTTCCGGATTGTTTACGGATTTTTACCGGATTGTGGGGAGGAGGCTTCCGGATTGTTTACGGAATTTTACCGAATTTGGTGGAGCAGGCTTACGGATTGTTTACGGATTTTGACCGGATCTGGGGGATGCAGCTTACGGATTGTTTCCGAAATTTTACCGAATTTGGAGGAGGAAGCTTACGGATTGTTTACGGATTTTTACCGGATTTTGGGGAGGAGGCTTCCGGATGGTTTACGGATTTTTACCGGATTTTGGGGAGGGGGCTTCCCGATTGTTTACGGATTTTTACCGGGTTTTGGGGAGGAGGCTTCCGGTTTGTTTACGGATTTTTACCGGATTTTGGGGAGGAGGCTTCCGGATTGCTGACGGAATTTGACCGGATTTTGGGGAGGAGACTTCCGGATTGTTTACGGATTTTAACCGGATTTTGAGGAGCAGGCTTCCGGATTGTTTACGGGTTTTTACCGGATTGTGGAGAGGAGGCTTCCGGATTGTTTACCGAATTTTACCGAATTTAGTGGAGCAGGCTTACGGATTGCTTACGGATTTTGACCGGATCTGGGGGATGCGGCTTACGGTTTGTTTACGGATTTTTACCGGATTTTGGGAAGGAGGCTTCCGGATTGCTGACGGAATTTGACCGGATTTTGGGGAGGAAGCTTCCGGATTGTTTACGGATTTTTCCCGGATTTTGGGGAAAGGCTTCCCGATTGTTTACAGATTTTTACCGGATTTTGGGGAGGAGGCTTCCGGTTTGTTTACAGATTTTTACCGGATTTTGGGGAGGAGGCTTCCGGTTTGTTTACGGATTTTTACCGGATTTTGGGGAAAAGGCTTCCCGATTGTCTACAGATTTTTACTGGATTTTGGGGAGGAGGCTTCCGGTTTGTTTACGGATTTTTACCGGATTTTGGGGAGGAGGCTTCCGGATTGCTGACGGAATTTGACCGGATCTTGGGTAGGGAGACTTCCGGATTGTTTGCGGATTTTAACCGGATTTTGAGGAGGAGGCTTCCGGATTGTTTACGGATTTTTACCGGATTGTGGGGAGGAGGCTTCCGGATTGTTTACGGAATTTTACCGAATTTGGTGGAGCAGGCTTACGGATTGTTTACGGATTTTACCTTGATCTGGGGGATGAGGCTTACGGATTGTTTCCGAAATTTTACCGAATTTGGAGGAGGAGGCTCACGGATTTACCGAATTTGGAGGCGGAGGCTTACGGATTTGGAGGCTTACGGATTTGGGACTGGGGAAGTCTGGGTGCTGAAACCTTGAAGCAACAGCCACCTTCGATTGGCGGAAAAAGCCTTGCTAATTGTTTATGGATTGGGACTAAGTAAGAAGCTGACTTGGGCTACACTGGGCTGAGGCTGAGATAGCTTGGGCTACACTGGGCTGAGATAGCTTACACTGGGCTGAGATAGCTTGGGCTACACTGGGCTGAGATAGCTTGGGCTACACTGGGCTGAGATAGCTTGGGCTACACTGGGCTGAGATAGCTTGGGCTACACTGGGCTGAGATAGCTTGGGCTACGGTGGTTTGATTAGTGGCGATTAGTGGCAAATTTGGTTTGATTAGTGGCGATTAGTGGCAAAGGTATGAACTGGGCTACACTGGGCTGAGATAGCTTGGGCTACACTGGGCTGAGATAGCTTGGGCTACACTGGGCTGAGATAGCTTGGGCTACACTGGGCTGAGATAGCTTGGGCTACACTGGGCTGAGATAGCTTGGGCTACACTGGGCTGAGATAGCTTGGGCTACACTGGGCTAAGATAGCTATAGCTGAGATAGCTACACGGCAAGATACGGCAAGTTTGGTTTGATTAGTGGCGATTAGTGGGCAAATTTGGTTTGATTAGTGGCGATTAGTGGCAAATTTTTGAACAAATCATCAATTGAACAAGGTATGCGCTACTCGTGCTACCCTCTTGTCGTGGTTTTTTATATCTTGTCGTGGTATAGATTCCACTGTCGTGGTATGACCCAACACCTCTCTTTCGTAGCGGCATTTGAAGCAGGAAATGAGGCTTTAGGGTTGGAGCGTTGCAAAGTTCCAAGGTTCAAAGCTTCCATGCTTGCAGAGTTCCAGGTTTCAAAGTGTCAGCTGGCAGAAATGAAAGTCTCGCAAAGAGTGACAGTGATTCCTTTTACCATTGAATCTACCCTCTTGAAAGCTCAGGAGTGCGGGCTGTGTGGATTGTTCCGACCCGACTTAGTGCCAAAGGCAAACGACAACTCCGTTTGGTGGCAAGGTTAGGCATAAAACTTAAGGATGTGCTACATAAGCTAAAAGTCAAGATGCTTGAAGAGAAATAGACAGGAGTGACTCACTCAGTGACCAGTGAGGAACTTTGTAACATTTTGTAACGATCCAAGATCTCCCCTTGAGGCTAAGGCCATTGTGCCACCACGAATCCAATGGTACGTCGCCTCGGCCAACTTTGCCCAGTGAGCTCTGCAACAGCAATTTGAAAAGCTACATCGAGCCGCCTCATGGCGCTCCAAGTTCTCCATGACTGTCACAACTGATAGCCATCAGACCTACCTTTGATATCCTTTGACTATGTTTGATATCCTTTGATATACAGTAGACATACGTATGTTTGTCTGTGTTGGTGGCCTCCAGTGATCAACTTACTTGCTGATGAATGATCACAAGTTTCATGTCAGGGCTCTGAGATCTTTTAGCGGCCCATTTGGCCATGATTTTCTCCGGCACATACGTTTATTCTCTCATCGGATCTTCTCAGATTGTGTCTTGCCTGCAAGCTCTGCAGTTGTTAAGACGTTCTGCAACAGCTGCAGGCGCTGTTTAGCTTCAAGCGAAGATTGCACCAATCAGCTTCAGTCATCAGCATTACATAGCATTACATAGCATTACTGTGCCTGTGATACAGCAGAAGCAACGATCCAAAGTATTTTCTTCACTCCACCACAGGTCACTGCTAGCTAGGTTTGCTAGAACACGCCAACTGTACATGGCACTGTGTATGGGACATTAAGCATAAGGAGCCGCGCTTGCTTCAAGCTGGCACCAAACTCATCCTCCATCACTTGCTCTGCTATTTCGCAGGTGGCGCTCGTCGTAGGCCAAGATCAATTCATCTAACTGGGACCTCAAAGGGTTCATCCAGGGTTCATCCAGTGACCAAGAACTAGTCTTAAATTTTGATGCATCTTGATATATTTAGAAAGCATGAAAGGCGCAAAACATAGGTCCCTACGCTTGCAATTTCAATGCAAAGCGATAAAGGTCCTTCCAGCCTGTCACCAGTGTGCCAGAAAAGAGAATACAGAATTGCTGTTTTCATTTCGATGTCAGGGAAAGCAAAGGCAAGGCACATGCTTCTCACTCCAGCCTTCGTTGCAGGTCTTGCCTGTACACAAGGCTCGAAGTGAAGTGCCTTGGGGAGCAGCGAAATCACCCTGGATCTGGCGTCCAAGGCAGGCTGAGAAACACACGCATGCTTTCCAGCAACAGAACTCTGGTTTCCCTTGATGCAGCCTGCAACCATTGTAACAATTGACTAGGAAAGCAATCTACAAATCCCCAAGGCATTTGGATGCCAAGGAAGGAATGACAGGGACAGGTGTGATCTCAACTCCAAATCTGTACATCCCTTGGCACAAGTTTCTGCAGTCTTCCACCTGGAGCGCAACGGAGCCACCTTCGCGCTTCAGGCGATCAAAATTCAGCGGACATGCAACAGGAGACTCAGGAGACCTGCCTTCAGATTGGTTCAGGTCAACCTTGGCAGCCATGTATTGCTGTTGTAAAGATTCAAAGTTTACTGCAGTCACTACGATCACTACGCTGCCGGGATATAAAAACAATGAGCAAAGGGCTGAAATTCGGCTGGCACTGATCAGTTCTTCAAGACCTTGGCCAACTATGATATTCCAGTTGAATGAAAAAAAAATGGTATGTGGAATCCTTCAACCGAACACTCTGGACATCTGAGTTCAAAGCTATGTTCGGGCTTCTTTGGCCCGATTTCCTGGCCTCGAGACACAGTTGGTTGCATTTTTGGAGAGCAAATGCTTCACTGCTTTGGTGAATGAGCAGAAAACGATGGCCACCTTGAACTTCTGCGCCAAGAAGATGGGCATGGACCAGCCTGTCACTGAGACAAGATGAGACTGGTACCCCATTCTTGCCTCTACGTTACTGGACCTGAACGTGGAGGATAAAAATCCACAACCTCTCTTGAACTCTGTCAGGTCTCTGTCTGCAAAAGTCTCAAGCAAAACACAACAGAGTGGGAATTACTGTAGCATGTGGAGGTTTCCAAAAATGGGGGCACCACCAAATTATTCATTTAATTTGGATGTTGCATTCAGCATTCCATTATAAATGATAAACCATCCAGCTATTGGGGTACCCCCTTTTCAGGAAAGCTCCATGTGGATACAGAATGATACAGACATGCAAAGAAGCAACTGGCATGCTGCGACAAGGCACAGCAACTTCACCACGGGGTCATGCTCTACCTTCACCTCGGCAAAGTGAGTCCCATTCCAAAATTCAGTCTATGGCACTAGACCTCATCTAGTCTAATGGATTCCCTGCAAAAAAAGAACAATAATAATAATCATCAAAACACTGTCACTATCACTTATCATCACTTCTCTGTGTACTTGGCGACCCCTACCATATCCAACCTGATCCAATGTTGATCCAGCACCGTCACCGACCCTGTCCAGCTGAGAAGCTGCAGCTCTATGGAGAGCTGATCGACCCTTCTCCAAAGACCATTGTGGCTTCGAGGGCTTCGAAGGCTTGGAGGGCTTCGAAGGCTTCTGCCTGGAAACCGATTGGATCCCCAACGGAACTCCAAAAGGTCCCAACATTCCCCAAGCCTTCCCGAGCGTGGCCCGGATGGAAGCCCGTTGAGATGGAGGTGGACCTGACAGAATCTCTTTCAGACCCCCTTCGCAACAGCAAAGTCCACTGCCTCCGTCATGGCCAGGTAGGCTTGAGCAGCCAAGATCTCTGCTTGCCTTGCAGACTATGCATTTCTTTTGCTTTTCAGCCGCACCGCGGCACAGTGAAAGTACACAAATCCCAAGTAGTTTTGAAGTAGCAAAAGAGCAAATCACCAGATGATTTTCTTCTGGACTTAGCTCAGAGTGAGACCGCTCTAAAAGCGTGTTTCCACCCAAACTTGGACAGCCAGCGCCTGCGCGGCCCAACATACAAATGTTTGCTGGCCTTGACCCTGTGGACACAATCCACTCTGCGTCTCCATCATACCGTCAATCCACACACATGCGTGCGTGACTGTGTGGGGTGTTTTGGTGGGTGGATCAAACCAAGCCAGGCTATCAGGACACCAAACCAACAAAGCAAGATGAAGAGAGAAATAGACTAACAAACAACCTACCTACCGACTGAACATTCCTGCCTGTCTACCAAATTACCTAGTTGGGTCGACACCATTTTCACTTTTTTGCAGACACTGCAGCTGCGTATGAACGATGCAGCCTTCACATCTTGGACATGTTGCCTTGGAACCTTTGGCAGCGGACTGTTGTATGTTTCATTCGACGCCGTCCATGCTGGGAGGTCAGACTGTTCATCTCGGTGAGAGTGAGAGTTGCTGTGTGCATGGAGCCATGTCTTCGTTGACAATCCGTGGGTTCAATGTCTCAATTCTTTCAAGATAACAACCTTTTCGATGAGGCTTGCTCTGGTAAAATCTGCAGGAGAAATGCCTGGTTGATAACAAACTATAAGACATCATCACCGGAGGGTAAGCGGGTTTGGGAATCCTCAGCTTTGCATTGGCCATGTTCTTTTTACCATCAGTTTCATGGCAACTAGTGTGTAATTCATGCAATTGTTCAGTAAAGTGCAGGTGTTTTCTCGCGCAAATTATATAGTGTGTAATTCATGCAATTCATGTGCTCAGCCGTTGTGTGCCGCCTTCCCCTGGAAGGGTCTGAAGGGCTTGGCTCAACCTCATCAAGGGCGTCTCATGGTGTGTCGGAAACCTGTTTCTGACGCTGGTCCCTTCACTTGCCCTGTTATACAAGGTCCCCAACATGTCAAGTTGTGCTCGGCCACACTCCTCTGAAGACAAATCCGGCGGCGGCAATGTCTGCAATCTGCCAACTGCGGCCTGATGGTCAAATTGGCTGCAACCCTGGCAAACTCAAGCTGCGAGTTGGTGCGAGTATCCCATGAATGCATCAAGAATTCTTCACATAAAGGAGCAGCGATGTGAGACGCCTGTATTGCTCCACTGGCCATCAGGCTCAGCGTGGTTGCTGCATCAGACTCAACAACAGGATCCAGACCTGACTCAGACTTGACCTGCTGCTGTTTATCCACAAAAGCTGCACACTGTGTGCCTGCTGTCCTGTCCCAATGAATGACATGACAAATTCTTGCGAAGACCGCGCCAAATGATCTGAGATCCCTTCTGTTCAAGGCAGCCTTATCCACTCCAAGGTGCCACTATTTGACTGAATTGCTTTTTTGAGCAGTTTTCACGTTGTTTCTCAGAACTGCATGTGGTCAAAAGTGTCCACAAGTTTGCTCAGGGCACAGCAAATGTCTCGGACACAGCTAGATCGCTCAGGCGCCCAATGATGTCCATCACGTCGCCAGCCTTGTTGTGGGCGATCGAGATTCCGGACCGAAACGTGTGCCAACAGCTCCTGCTGTAATCATGGACGCCTAAGTCCAATTGCACTGACCTCTGGAAAGTCATCATCATCACAAAGACCTCAAGCTGTGCAGTAGAATCTGTTATTGGCAATGTTCTGCCAGTTGCGACAATTCGCTCGTCTGGGATTCACACTCTGTATTACTTCCACCTGTCGACTGTGTCAACAACTCAATAGAAACGTGTCAAGTGTGGGACAATGTGAGGTATATTATGAAGCCAACAGGCCTCGTCCTCAGCAAGCAATTCGTGCAAGGTACTTCCAGATCTTCCTGCTTCGAGCTGTGGAATCGCTAAAAAGGTTCTTGTTCCAATATATTCAATGTGATTTACATTGTTTTACATATTTACATTGTTTTGCATCAATCCCACAATACACATGTTTCGGATATGCAGTGGTTGTCCTCTTTTCGGGGCCAACTGCACAAGCTCGTCCTCTCACACATACACAATTAAGCATAATTAAACCATATTAAACTTGCACTTTTATTTTGCGTTGAGCCAAGAAAAAGGCTGGTGTCAGCATGTGTCAGCGCCTCAGATTTAAAGGATCACCCAGTATATCCAGTATCCAAGCGCCCCACAGCTGCAAGACCACAAAGGTGTCCCCTGCTGGCTCGTGCCAAGGCTGCTGCTGCCTGAAGCTTCCAGGTTTCGAATTTGACCAGAAAAAGTTGACGTGTGTTTTGATTTGTTTCCGACATGTACTCGTTTTCAAAGCAGTGTGGCACACATACAACATCTTAGCAGTTGTTTTTCCAATATGAATAGTATGCAGCGCCTTGTATCCGGCTGCGTCTGCTAAATCCTCTGCCCGGCAGAGGTGCTCGTTGGCAGGCTGCAAAGCCTCTGAAAGTCTGATAACTGCAAAAACCAAAAAACTAGCACTTCACGCAACACGACTGCAAGTGATTCAGTGATCCATGAGGCAAGCAGCACTTTTTAACACTCGGGCCGAGGGCACCGTCTCAAGGGCGAGCGATAGCAGTTAGCACAAACATGCGGGGTCCGGCAATAAACACATGGCCTTGAGGCGCAATAAGATCCACAAATCCAGGCTTCACACTCCTCACACTGCATCAAATTATGTACAGCGCAGTGTCTACAAAGGCCCAAGTCTGCCTCACAAACACCTCAGATAAGGCTGAGATAAGGCTGAGATAAGGCTGAGAAAGGCTGAGAAAGGCTGAGAAAGGCACTTGGATAAGAATATTGTGAAAGCAAACAATAAAGCATTCAGTCTAAAAACCCTAAGGAACAGGCCGCAAAATTCGCTTGCGAGATTTCTTCTGCAGGTCCTTGATTCCACAAAGTCTCAGCACTGCCGTGCTTTGAAAAACCAAGTGAGGTTTATGCCATACTTATGCTATTTTGACAAGGCACCAGCAGCTTTCACCGGCAGCAGAAGCTTTCGCAAGCTCAGGAGGGTTGTCTTGTCCTCTGGGCTTTCCACTTCCAATTGATTCCAACTGATTCCAACTGTTACAAATCAACCCATTTGCAGCCAATGAAAGCAAAAGGGAGCTGAGTGGGGACCGAAGTTCAAAGAAACATCTTTGGTCGCAAGTGGTCTAAAAGTATCTGCATCCTATGGCAACGGGGCAACGTGGCTCAAGATTGAGAATGGTATCCGAAAATATCCGAAAGCTTGTAAATTCACATCCGGTTAATATCCCTGAAATCGTATCACGTCGTATCATGTCCTTCCGCTTTGCTTTGAAGAAGGTTCAAGACCTCGTCCACGACTCGAACTCGAACCCACTGTCCATCTTCTACAGAGCTGCGACAAGTCGGACATGATGGAGACTGCTTCAGCCAGGCTTGCCTCATGGCTATCGCAATGTCAGCTGAAATAGGGATGACTAGGCTGCAACATTTTTCCGGTGGACACTTGTAAGGCAACATTACTGAGATTTGTTTTCAGTGCGGAGTTCTGCGAGAAAGTTCAACGAGATATAGTTGTATTTGTTGATGCTCGAAAGAGATCCCCTACCATGGTTTATTACCAAGCTCTGCTGGATTTGCGTGGGCGAACATGATGCCAGCTGACAAACGTTGAGAAAAAAGCACCGCAGCCTTCCACACTCTGCCAAAGTAGAACATGTTTCAAAAAGCGCCTTCCCCTCAATACAATGGATCATTTTGGCGAACCTACCAACTAGAATCTCATGAAAAAGAATGTGTGTCGCATTGCGACTTGGGTACACGCATGCCTTGCAAAAGGCATGGCCGCAGGGAATAAGTGCTACACATTGTCTCAAGAGGCCGCAGCATATTGGGCAATTTGCAGCCACCTCGCTGTCTTGCCTCCAGGTTTTGCTCTCAAGATGCGAACATATCCGGATATATATATATATTATATATTATATATTATATATTATATATATTATATATATATTATATATTATATATATTATATATTATATATATTATATATATATATTATATATATTATAATATTATATATATAGGGCTTACAACACCTGAACCTTGTCTTGCAACAGGTGGCAGGTGCCAACTGGCCACTTTCTCTCAGACATGCGGATCAATTTCGACGAAGCCTGTTCACTTGGTCTATGTATATAAATAATTTGTTGATATTTGTTGTTCTCAAAAAGCCAACAGAACAAGCGCTGCCTGCCTCTGCTTGCGTTTCGCATGATTACAGCTTCTGGCTGGCGCTTCTCTCTCACTGACCATGTCTTGCTTCTCCTACACGGAGGACTGATTGGCCAGCCAGTCTCCTGATCTTCAGTAGAGACTCTCAGGCGGGAAAAGCCTTGATCTTGAAATGTCTGCAGTGTCACAGACAGAAGTTCCATGAATGCGACTGCAGCCACCAGAAGCAACATATATTCAGCAAATGCCCTGCTATGCACAAAGCATAAGCCTTGATACGGTATTCACTTGAGAAATACTGAAAAGCGAGCCTCCAAGGAAGGAACTTGATGAGCATCGGAATCTGAGACAGGAATCAATGGAGCGACTTGTTCAATATCAGCTATCGATCGGCGATGCAAAACCACGAAACCACGTGGGATGAAGGTCACACCTTGAGCACGTTCAGCCAGTGCTACCACTGCCACCTGCTGGAACATGAGGGAACGATGCTTAAGGTCTGAAATTCGCACAGCATTGTGCAAGGACAGTTGCGCTGGTCATGATTCTCATGACAAGAGTCTGACAAGAGAGGCAAGAGTAAGGTTGGCAATGCTGATGACGATGACAAGGATGGCGAATGTGAGGGCGATGATCTGACTATGAAGGTTTCACGCAGGCTCGTCAAAACTTGGCTTCCAGCAGCCGCTTCGGACAGCGAGATGGACACCGTCATCATAAGCCTCAATCGCAAATTCTACCAATTCCACCCATCAACTTCTTGGCCGAAGTCTGGATGATCATTGGGAAAGCGCGGCTTTCTGCAATCTGTTCTGAGTGTCTGCGCTCATTCAGCAGTGCACTGCATCCTCTCTGACATCTTGCCTGGAAAACAAAACCGTCAATTTTTTCTTACAGAGAACGATCCACCGCGGAAAATCTCTGTTTGGACCCTGGGACCCTCCACTCGGCCTCAACGATGTGCGCTGGAAGCAAGCGCACACTCCGTTCCAGATGCCATGCAGCTCTTAACCGCCAACGATCTGCACAGGTGCCATGTGCTCCGTGTGCTCCATGTGCCTCGTAAAGGAGTTGGACGAGTTGGACGAGTTGGATAAGCGAAGCAGCAATTGCAACGCAAATTCTGTGAAGCGAAGCGAACCGAAGCGCCTCCCCGTCAAACAGATTCCACCTGGTTCAAAATGTTCAAAGCAAAGTTGAGAAAGATATCTGGGAAGGTTCGGAAGGGAAGAAAAATGAAGAAAAGCACTTCAAACATCTTCAAACCCTTTCCAGCTGCCTCAACTCCACATCTTCTTCCTGCCAACTCGGGCTGTGGAAGTTCATTTCTGCACTTTGAGTTTTTTTGAGCATGCATAACATTGCATAACCATGATGCAGGACATGGACAAATACGTTCCGCCTGATCCAAGTCTTTCGAACACTTAGCCCAATCCTCGAGCCTGACAGGAGGGCTGAAGTCGCGTTTAGCCGCATCAGGAAGCTTCATTGGACATCGCAACTACTTAGCCGAGGAAACAAATGGCTTTACCCAAAGAGTTTCGGGAACGGACTTTCTGCCTGGCAAGCCTATGTTCGAGCTCATCTAGAACACTCTTGCACTCCTGATCAGCACAGGCCAATACAGGGCAAGAAGCGATCAACAACTGAAAATGACACCCTACATCCGGCATGTTTCACAATTCTTCAAACATGCAAAAACCAAGGAGAACAAGCATAGTGATGCACAGTCAAACTGGAAGCACATGTGCAACTTGATCACATTTCCAAAGGACCTTGGCAGAAGTCGAAGTCCCAGCAAACAAAGCCTGGCATCCGAAGGGCGCGTCCGGTTTCGTGGGGCATGAACCGAACGAAGTCAGTTTCTGATCAACAAGGCCGAAGGCACAGTCTGGGCATCCGCAAAGAACAGGAGAGCGCGTCCAGATAAATGCCTGGTTGCACATTCTTGCAACTAGAAACTGCAAACTCTGCTTCAATCTGGGGTAGCCACTCAAGCCGGAGCAGCAGTTCCTGAAGTCGCAAGCTAGGGAAATGCGCAAATTCGCATTAGCCTTATCTGCTCAGTCTACTCAGTCTGCTCAGTCTGCTGGGGTGCCTCTTTGGAAGGAAGTTTGGAGAAGAAAGGCTGCGGTTCTGGTCGTGGCCTTGGAAATTGCGCTTGATGAGAATGGAGCGGTTCAATGCTTTTCATCAAATCAGTCCATAGATGTGGTGCTTGAAATTCTCAAGCATTCTACACCAACATCGCACATTCATGCACTACTGGTCAAAAGCTACCCAGGTCTATGTGAGGGCCCAAGACCTAGGACACATCGGACCTGAGGTTGAGGGCAAGCTGGCTGCATCCAACACAAACTTTCTCGCTGTAAGAAGCGCTCGCCAAATGAGTGCCTGCAAAGCACTGGAAGTAGGGCGAAGTAAACTTGTTAAGCACTGAAAGACCGAAAGACCTTGTTCCGCTTAACGGTGCTGGGGTCATGTGCACGGGGCACTTATTGAAACTCCGGTTGTTCCTTTCTAGCGCCCCTCTTCTTGCGCCTTTCTAATGTCTAACATCGATGCAACACTTTGGTTGCTTCACTACTTGGCTACCTGAAAAAAGGGCAAATCAAATCTAAGAATCCACCACTCTACTCTACTGGTGTCCGGGCTACTTGCAGCACCACGGGCTATTCTTGAGCATACCAGGCTTACCAAGCCAGGCTGGCAGCTAGCACTTCTCCAACATAGCATCTGCAAACGTTGCAGAGGCAGGCACATCGCCTTCAGCCACAACCATCTGGGTGATGACTCCCTCCTCCACCAGCATGGCAAAACGTTTCAGCCGTGGACCTCCAAGTCTCTGGCGTATTTGAGGCGAGTCCAAGACCAGGTCCAATGACTTTGCCATCATGCCCTCTGTATCCGCTAGGAAAGTGATCATGGAACCTTGGACCTTTTGATCCTTGGCCCATGCATCCATAACCGCTCCATCGTTGACACTACACACCAAGACTTCATCGATTCCTTTGGCTTTGAGGGCAGCTTGCTGTGCAAGGTATCCAGGCACATGCTGATTGGAACACGTCGGAGTGAATGCGCCCGGAACGCCAATGACGATGGTCTTCTTTCCAGAAAGGCGCTCAGCCATTCTGACCTTCACAAATGTGGCAAAAAATCAACTAATCCTCCCTAATCCTGCCTATATGAAGCTAAAAGTGCTGCATGTTACACAACAGGCTCAATGAGAAATCAATCAGATGTGCAGGCCTTCAATGGCGGATAGCCCATGTCCACCTCCACTTCTGGAAACTTTTGTCCCACGGCTGCAAAGCCACGCCGCACGAAGGCTAAATGAAGCCATAGCTTTCGCTGAGCAACTTGCATGGCAGAAAATGCTGCCATTGCTTCGTTGAGAACTTTGTTGGAAGGAGACAGTAGTTTAAGATAGTTTAAGCACAGATCCGGTGTGTTAGAATTCCCTGCAACGAATCTACTGGTACTTCTGATATTCCAGGCTTGCATTGAGCTAATTTGCTTGTCTTGGTCTGGGCTGTGTCGCAAATGTAACAAAGCTGCAAAGTATGAGAAGTGTATCAACAGTCAGTAGAGACTGGCAAGGATATATTGTCAGATGTTCTGCTCTAGAGACCTCAGTACAAACGCTGCATGGGCAAGATTTGGCCAACCAACATCAACGATTTTTCACAACAATCAACTGCATAAAACTGATGCACTTCATTCAATGCATTTGCTGCCTGTTGTCTAGGCGAAGAAGCACCTCAAGCAAGGCTCCGAAAACTTGCACCAGAATCTGAGCATCTCTGAGCATCTCTGAGCATCTCTGAGCATCTCTGAGCATCAGACCCACTCGCAGCATGGCAGAAGCGAGTTCAAGGAGAACCAGGGCCGCAATGGGAAGAGCCAAGACTTCCAACCGCTTCGCATCATCGTTTGCCTCGCCAAGGAGGTCCAAGGCATCCCCAGAGCGATTCAATGCTGCCATGGCCGGAGCCAATTTGGACATATCGGAAGGTTGGCTAGGTGGATGAAGAGGTGGATGACTCGGATGACTCGGATGACTCGGATGACTTGTGCAAGTTGAATTCGGCCAAGGCGGAAGAGCTGCAAAGAGTTGTGGAGCACGTGAGACCAGCCCGCTTGCGGTGCTGGCATCTGCTTCACTTGTTTCAAGATGACCCACTTCTCTGCTCCATGGTAGCATACGATATTGTCTGCGACTAGGACTTGGCAAATCTTGCCGAAGCTTGGACAACAATGCAGCTGCTTGCGCTGATACGGAGGTAGAACCAAAGCTCGGAAGGTCTTCGTCGTCAAAGTTCTCGGAACTGTTTGAGGCTTCACTCTCCAGTTCACATAGGGCGAGTCCCAAGTGGCTGCAAGCCTGGGAGGCGCCAAAAAATATGCAGTCTTCTGCTTAATGTAGCTTAATGTAGCTTACTACTTACAACATCTTACAACCTTAAGTAGATTCTGCGAATCACCGGGGTCCCAGCTTGCAGGGCGACTCGTCCTGCTGTGACGCTTGCTGGTGGCCTCCACCAAAAACGTGCAGCTTGTGGGGTTCACCGGGTTCACCTGCCCCGGAACTTTACAGATGCTTTTGTCCAAAACTTGTCATCTTTTGTCACAGATTTTCACAGCTTTCAGTATCTTTCAATCGCACCTCAGGGGAGGTCCATCTTCATCATCAGAATTTGCGGGATGTTGAGCACTGTATGCCTCCAGATTCAGAGCTTGCAGCCCAGCAGTTCCCCCAGAGATTCCATGAAAATCATGAAATTCCATGAAATTCCCCCATTTCCCAAGAATCTCACCTCCAAATCCAAGACCTGTCGAAAAAACCGGGCAGCATCTGGTCCTGGCCTCAAAGCGGGCGAAACATCTGCAAGCTGGGATGGAACTGCGCATGTGATGATCTTTGAGACGCTGGCACAGATGACACAGCCCTCCGGAAGAAGAGAGTCGATATGCGTCTAGAAAAAGGTGAAAAGTGGCACCTTATCAAAGTGACAGGTCAAAACGGTCAGGCTGAAACAGCATAGCCGTTGCAGTGTGCAGTGTCTTCCTTGAACTAGCGAGATGACCAAGGTGCTGACAAATCCTCCTCCATATCAACATTGCCAAGGAAGCGAGCTGGGCAACTTAGTGCCTTGGTGAATTGAGAAATGTGCTGCGACTAGATAGAACATCTCTAGGGCTGCCACACGACGAAAGCTCGAAGATTCATCCTCAAGGCCAAAGTCAAGGCCAAAGTCTCTTCATTTTGCTCTGCACGGCTGACTAGTTGCAAGTTCAGTGGAAGAATGTCAATGGCCTCATCGGGAAGATGAAGGAAGGTGTTCTTCAGCACCAAACCACTCGCACCAGTTCCTGAGTGTTACAACAGCGCTCCAACGCATGTTGGTTTGCGCCCTTGAAAGCCAAGGCTTCGACCACAAGCAGGAAGCGCCCCCGACCCTCAGCATCTTGCAGCGTGGCTACAAATTCTGGCAGTTTTTCAAGCTGGGGAATGGATGGAATGGGAAACGAATAGGGTCCGTACGCTCTTCCTGCGGGTACTCATTTCCAGAGAGCCTTGGAGTTTCTGTAACAGCCGAGTCTGCCCGGTCTGGCGGTAGGAGAATGGCCAAAGACAGACCACAGCAACCTAGCTCAGAATCATTGCAAAAAGATCGCGGCTTGATCAGCTTCAGGGAGGAATCCTTTTTGTCCTGCCAACTTAAGAATCGATGAGACCATCAATCCATGAGAAATAAAGCAGCCATTGCCAAGGCCTGTGCGAAGTTAACAAGACCAGTTCTGCTTCCAAGCTGACTTTCTGAAGTCAATTGGAACTGTCCTTTGACAACCAGTAGCTGCAGCCCTCCAATCGACACCTGACTGCTGTGCAGCTGGCTAGAATCTGGTGGAGTTTCCACTGGATTCTCCTGATTTCTCAGTATTTCTCTACCCTGTCTGTTTCAGCTGTAATCATGTCAAGTCATGTCAAGTGCATCAAGTATTGCACTGGCGCTTGATCCAGCGCAGAACTTCCAACCTCGGTGCATCTCACAACGTGCGCTGTGAGTCATGCTGAGTTTCACCTTGCTCTAAGCCTCTAAGTTCCATACGTCATTTGTACACGTCGACCAAGCTCCATTCCTTGTGCCAACTACATCCCATCCCTGTGAATCTCCCAACACACTGAAGGTAGGTTGACCCTGGCAGTAAGACACACCTCAAATTTGGAGGCAAAAAAAAGGCCGCCTCGTAGCGCGTGAGATCATCAATACCATCCCATGCAACTAAGGCACTAGACCCACACACGGAATAATCTAATGGAACAAGGTTGGATATTGTACCGTCAAACCAGTGAGATAGGACACTGACAAATAGTCTGAAAACCGAAAATGCAGGTTGCATCAGGTTGCACAGGACCACATAGGCCTATGAACAATTAGAATAATTAGAACGACTTCTGTGTTCCTGTGAATTGTTGCATGTGAGAATGCAGGCTGATTCAGAAATGTCAAAAACATGTCATTTTTTCAGCACTTTATTAATGACTGTTTTTCTCTATATCAACAGCTAAGCATATCGTTTGAAGAAAGAAGAAACCCATCACAGTTTCCTGAGTGGTCCGCTCTACATGACATTTTCTGCGTCCTTATGTAGAGTCCCCTTTGCGGTTTTTTTACGACGAGTGACATTGGTCACTATAGCTGCTATAGCTGATACCCGAATGCTCCGCATTCCGGTTGAAATATCTCAAAAGTCATGAAAAGTGATGAAAAGTGCGTTGACTCCATGGGTTCTCAGCCAGGAATCGCTCTTCCAGGAACCTCTGCAACTCGGACAGTTTGTACAAAGAGTATGACCTTAGAAACTCAGAGCCCCAAAACAACCAGTGAACGGCTTAACCTAGGTGTAACTTACTCGCAACAGTTGTTCATTATTTTCACTTCACTTCACCCTGACATACAAAATTGGATGAAACGGAATTTTGAGTTATCACACACAGAGCAAAGCGGATCTGGTGCTAGCGGTTTGGTTCGGCAACACAATGGTCTGGTTCGGAAACAAAAAGGTCTGGTTTGGAAATTGCACGGTACAAGAACCAAAGGTCGGGATCAGGAACCAAAACGTTTGGTTTTGGTAAGTGCAGCCACATTTCTTGATTCTCAGTGCTGAGGCCAGATTTTTCCTCACAATAAGCAAGTGCTCTATTCTATGTATCTGTTGCCGATGCTATATGTCTATGTGTGTCTCTGATTGACACGGCTGTCCCAACAGGGGAATTTTGTTCTCTCCCGTTGTCCATTTGCTGAACCATATTTGCTTAACCATAGTTGCTGAACCATAGTTGCTGAACCGTAGCTGCTGAACCATAGATACTGAACTGTAGTTGCTGAACCGTAGCTGCTGAACTGTAGTTGCTGCACCGAAAGTTGCTGAAACGTAGTTGCTGAACCGTAGCTGCTGAACCATAGATACTGAACTGTAGTTGCTGAACCGTAGCTGCTGAACCGTAGCTGCTGAACCATAGATACTAAACTGTAGTTGCTGAAACGTAGCTGCTGAACTGTAGTTGCTGAACCGTAGTTGCTGAACCGTAGTTGCTGAACCATAGATACTGAACTGTAGTTGCTGAACCATAGCTGCTGAACTGTAGTTGCTGAACTGTAGTTGCTGAACCGAAAGTTGCTGAACCGTAGTTGCTGAACTGTAGTTGCTGAACTGCAGTTGCGGAACCGTAGTTGCTGAACCGTAGTTGCTGAACCATAGATACTGAACTGTAGCTGCTGAACCGTGGTTGCTGAACCGAAAGTGCTGAACCATAGATACTGAACTGTAGTTGCTGAACCGTAGCTACTGAACCGTAGTTGCTGAACCGAAAGTTGCTGAACCATAGATACTGAACCGTAGTTGCTGAACTGTAGCTGCTGAACTGTAGGCTGAACCGTAGTTGATGAACCGAAAGCTGCTGAACCATAGATACTGAACTGTAGTTGCTGAACCATAGCTGCTGAACTGTAGTTGCTGAACCATAGTTGCTGAACCGTAGTTGCTGAACCGAAAGTTGCTGAACCGTAGCTGCTGAACTGTAGTTGCTGAACCGTAGTTGCTGAACCGTAGTTGCTGAACTGTAGTTGCGGAACCGTAGTTACTGAACCAGAGTTGCTGAGCTTAAAGTTGCCGAACGGTAGTTGCTGAATCGTAGTTGCTGAACCATAGATACTGAACTTTAGTTGCTGAACCATAGCTGCTGAACTGTAGTTGCTGAACTGTAGTTGCTGAACCGTAGTTGCTGAACCGTAGTTGCTGAACCGTAGTTGCTGAACCGAAAGTTGCTGAACCGTAGTTGCTGAGCTTAATGTTGCCGAACGGTAGTTGCTGAATCGTAGTTGCTGAACCGAAAGTTGCTGAACCATAGATACTGAACTGTAGTTGCTGAAGCGTAGTTGCTGAACCGTAGTTGCTGAACCGTAGTTGCTGAACCATAGATACTGAACTGTAGTTGCTGAACCGTAGCTGCTGAACTGTAGTTGCTGAACCGTAGTTGCTGAACTTCAGTTGCTGAACCGTAGTTTCTGAACCGAAAGTTGCTGAACCATAGATACTGAACTGTAGTTGCTGAACCGTAGCTACTGAACCGTAGTTGCTGAACCGTAGTTGCTGAACCGAAAGTTGCTGAACCATAGATACTGAGTCGTAGTTGCTGAACTGTAGCTGCTGAACTGTAGGCTGAACCGTAGTTGCTGAACCGTAGTTGCTGAACCGTAGCTGCTGAACTGTAGTTGCTGAACCGTAGTTTCTGAACCGAAAGTTGCTGAACCATAGATATTGAACTGTAGTTGCTGAACCGTAGCTACTGAACCGTAGTTGCTGAACCGTAGTTGCTGAACCGAAAGTTGCTGAACCATAGATACTGAGTCGTAGTTGCTGAACTGTAGCTGCTGAACTATAGGCTGAACCATAGTTGCTGAACCGAAAGCTGCTGAACCTTAGATACTGAACTGTAGTTGCTGACCCATAGCTGCTGAACTGTAGTTGCTGAACCGTAGTTGCTGAACTGCAGTTGCTGAACCGAAAGTTGCTGAACCAAAGATACAGAACTGTAGTCGCTGAACCGTAGCTGCTGAACTGTAGTTGCTGAACCGTAGTTGCTGAGCCGAAAGTTGCTGAACCATAGATACTGAACTGAAGTTGCTGAACCGTAGCTGCTAAACTATAGTTTCTGAACCGTAGTTACTGAACCGTAGTTGCTGAACTGTAGTTGCTGACCCGAAAGTTGCTGAACCATAGATACTGAACTGTAGTTGCTGAACCGTAGCTGCTGAACCGTAGTTGCTAAACTTTAGTTGGTGATCCGAAAGATGCTGAAGCGTAGTTCCTGAACTGTTGTTGCTGGACTGTAGTTGCTGTACCGTAGTTGCTGAACTGAAAGTTGCTGAACCGTAGCTACTGAACTGTAGTTGCTGAACCATAGATACTGAACTGCAGTTGCTGAACCATAGTTGCTGAACCGTAGTTGCTGAACCGTAGTTGCTGAACCGTAGTTGCTGAATCGTAGTTGCTGAACCGAAAGTTGCTGAACCATAGATACTGAACTGTAGTTGCTGAACCGTAGCTGCTGAACTGTAGTTGCTGAACCGTAGTGCTGAACTGTAGTTGCTGAACCGTAGCTGCTGAACTGTAGTTGCTGAACCGTAGCTGCTAAACTATAGTTTCTGAACCGTAGCTGCTGAACTGTAGGTGCTGATCCCTAGTTGCTGAACCGAAAGTTGCTGAACCATAGATACTGAACTGTAGTTGCTGAACTGAAAGTTGCTGAACCGTAGCTACTGAACTGTAGTTGCTGAACCATAGATACTGAGCTGCAGTTGATGAACCATATTGGCTGAACCGTAGTTGCTGAACCGTAGTTGCTGAACCGTAGTTGCTGAACCGAAAGTTGCTGAACCATAGATACTGAACTGCAGTTGCTGAACCGTAGCTGCTGAACTGTAGTTGCTGAACCGTAGTTGCTGAACTGTAGTTACTGAACCGTAGTTGCTGAACTGTAGTTGCTGAACCCGGTTGATGAACTAAAAGTTTCTGAACTGAAAGTTGCTCAACCGTAGTTACTGAACCGGAGTTACTGAACCGTAGTTACTGAATCTCAGTTTCTGAACCGAGGAAGTTGCTGAACCAGACTATGTCCATCTGGGGACCGGTTGGCAAAAGGAACAACGAGGGCACCAGTTGAGGGCACTCAGGAACTCAGGCCCAAACTGCACTGCTCCATCGCGGTGGAAGCAGATCGCAAATTCTGGAACTCCCGCCTTGGCGCCAAAGCCGGTCTCTTTCCATTGGAAACAATGGAAAGAGATTTCCTGCCCTGGGTGGGACAAATGACATGGAGCAAACTGCAGGCTGCCCACGCAAAACTATCTCTGTGACGCAGCAACAGCCTAAGGGCCTTGCCATGATGCATTCCATCCAATGCTCCAGAAGCATGGTGTCAGAAATCATTCTGTCATCATGAAGATACCTGGGAGAAATACATATTGGAGTGCAATACAAATACAACATTGATGTCATCGTGAACATCATCAACGTCATCAACATCATCAATGACATCATCAACATCATCACCATCACCAACGGCTTCTGTACCAAATTCATAAGGTACTGTAGGTCTTCAGAACCAGCAACTGCAGCTGAGGAACAAAGTGAGCTTTGGATGTTCTTGATTCCCAAGGCAAAGTAGGCGACTCCCTACCACCACTGAAGCATCATCTGCCATATTCCAAACTCCCACCTCAATAGGTCCATGGCAAGTCCATTGGACATGCAAACAGAGCTGAAGATCTTCAACGATTCAAATACGATCAGAAAGCCTGGGGTTGCATGACCCGGCGCCTGATGAAACGATGCAGGAGGTCCATCTAGCAGCACCAGTTCACCCTGACCTTCCAAACGGATCACTCATGTCTCAGCGCAGGACCTAGAGACGACCTGAGTACTTCACTAGGATTCTGGCAGTTGCTAGCAGAAGTCGCTACCTCCAAGACTTTGTGACATGACTCATGTCGTGATCTTGTTTTAAAGGTGGTACTTGGATCCATCTGGCAAACCGGCAACTTTGGAGGACTTGTCTGAAAGAGATGCAATGGCTGTCCAGGTGCAGCAGGATGCCTCTCGCTCCTCTTCTGCAGTGACAGGCGGAAGAGGCTCGTCCTGCGAAACGAAAACTGCACAGGGAGAAAATAAATTTAAAAAATGAATGAATAAATAAAATAAATAAAATATATATATATATAATATAAATAAATTTTAAAAAAATAATAAATTAAACAAATAAACTAAATAATTAAATAAAATAAATAAATATATATATATATAACTATATATATATATACATATGCATACGTTATATCATGTGTATATAATGTATATATATATATCATCTATACTAACAGGTGTGTATGTGTGTGCATGTATGTTTACACGTAGTTATCACATATCTTTGTATACATGATATATGTCATATTGCGATCTTTCCAAGTCTCTACAAAGCTTCAACCGCAGGTCCTGCAATTGCTGAATGGAGTGCCCCAGGAAATTCCGGTAAAGCTGCAGGTCTTCCTGTGGACTCAAAGGAGGATCTACTTCCTCCTCAAAGATGTGGTTGCCTGCCGCAGCCAAGTCTCAAAATCCTCCCAAAAAAGTAATCTTCTTCCGTCCTTCAGTTGTGCATGAAAAGGGCACGCAAAGGCAGGAAAAGGCCTACATCAAAGTCTGGGAGATCGTCATAGCTGTCAGCGGGCGTCTTCAGGTGCTCACCTTATCCAACTGTCGATCCAACCCGAAGGATGGAGAAAATCCCACAATATTCCGAAAAAAAGAAGCTCTCATCTGACGCAAGGCTGCTCATGAAGAGTACCGTTCTTTTTACGTGCTATCACTGCCATCGCTGCCGTCACTGCTGTCACTACCCACTGGATCTTGTTTGCAGCATCATATACTTGCATATTGCTCGAGGACATCCCTGAGCTTTGTACACGTTTCAGCTGCTCTTGATGCTTCAGCCAGCGCCTGTGGGATAGCATCTAGACTGGTCCATCAAATCAAAGTGTACGGAGAAAGTTCCAAAGGAAGTTCGTTGGTGTTCTTGCATGCCCAGATCTAGTTTTTTGCAAAAACCAAACGCACCAAGAAGGAAGTGCCCCGGTACTGAATAATTATTGGGTGCACAGTGCAGAACCATTGCCCATTTTTTGCACTCAGATCTCATCGTGTTCTCCACGAGCAGACTTTGGGTCGTCCTCCCACTCAAGATCATCACTATCATCTTCCTGGGTCGCAGAGCATGACTCACAATAACTTTCTTTTTTGCACATAATTATCCAATTCTTTCTCAACCGATGCTCCTCTGGAAACTCAATCCTTCTGGATCATCTTCACTTTGAGATGATGCTTCGTCCTCCGAGTTTGCAACCCCAGGCATGTGTTCATATGGAAGGTTGGATGTGCAAAGAGTTTGTGGATGAAAAGAAGTGTGAGTATGTAGGCATACATGAAAGGGTCCGCCCTTTGTCCTCCTGGATGGCATCGTCAGAGAAGTCTTCTGCGTCCAACGAATCTTCACTGTCTAGAAAGTTTTCCTGTCCAATGACCAAAGTTTCGGCAGCATGACACATCTCTTCTGGTTCCCTAGACTTTGCAGGAAAAGAACTAAAAAACTGACGTTGGGACAATCTTGTCTGTGATGGGAATGCATTTCCTTTTCTGTTTTAATTATTTCGTTTTCTCGTTTGTTCTTCCGTCCTTTCTTTCATTTTTGTTTTGTTCTTTCGTTTTTTCTCTCTTTCTTTCTTTGTTTTTTTCTTTCTTTCCCTCTTTATTTCTGTTTTTCTTTATTTTTGTTTCTTTTGTGTTTCCTTTCTTTCTTTTTTTCTTTCTTTCTTTCTTTCTTTCTTTCTTTTCTTTCTTTCCTTTCTTTCTTTCTTTCTCTTTCTTTTCTTTCTTTCTTTCTCTTTTTTTCGTTCTTTTCTTTTCTTTTCTTTTCTTTCTTTTCTTTCTTTTTCCTTTCTTTTCTTTTCTTTTCCTTTCTTTTCTTTTCTTTCGTTTCGTTTCGTTTCGTTTCGTTTCTTTTCTTTTCTTTTCTTTCTTTCTTTCTTTCTTCCTTCCTTCCATCCTTCCTTCCTTCCTTGCTTGCTTGCTTGCTTGCTTGCTTGCTTTCTTTCTTTCTTCCTTTCTTTCTTTCTTTCTTTCTTTCTTTGTGGAAGCTTTTGTAAATATATTCCCACAAAACACATTTAAGAAAATTGGAGGATCAACTTGCAATGTTAAGTTTATACCAAGGTTTTTATTGTAAAATTGGAGCTGGTTTACAACTGCGATTTGCGAACATTACGTTGGTTTGTTTTAAAGACGCCGAACACTTGTTTCGGTTGATGCTTCAGGTCTTGACGTCTTGACGCCTTGACGCCTACTCCAACACATCCCTCCCGCGCACCGGGAAAGTCGGCATGAAGTGAACGAGGTCCACAACGTTGAGGTATCCCGTGCAGCCAGCTGTGGCTGTGGGCCAACTGGGCCTGAAGTTTGGCCAAAACTTGCGCAGCAGATGTTAGTCACGCAGTCACTACCTAGACCCTCGAAATACCACAAAAAGAATGGCAAATGTACTAAAACTATGGGGTGAAACGCAAGTTTATGGGTACAAATGGAGGGTCTAGGTAGCTGCAGGTAGCTATTCTGATGTTTCGGTTCTGGCCTTTCAAAACCAGGCGACCGTAATTTTGGTCAGGCCCCACTATCTCCCAGTTTTGGAAGAAGCGGCTGGTCCTGTCAGTGTCCTGAAAATGCCACTTGGGCTGGAAGTAGGGGAAGCTGGAGCTCCATGTTACAGAAATAGATGACATGATACCCCTTTTCGACGAACAATATCCAATCAATTTGCACGGACGGAGGGGCTCGCGGAACCAGTGATAGAGAATTGATATTTGAAGATTTGAAATTGCAGCATGAAACACCCCACTTTGGGTGCGGGGACCCCGGCAGAACAACCACACTTCTTGGGACTGCTAAGACATCGTTCCGGCTTCCACGACAATTCTGGCTCTTTTCGCTGCTCATCCAAGTGAGCTGAAGCTCAGGAGCCAAGGCCACGGTGAAGACTGCTGGAATCCTTCACTCCAAAGGGCCCGCCCTGTGGTGAGAAACCCCATGGATTTTTTGCAACCGAAAAAAAGATTTTGAAGCCGCTCTCTTGGCGGAGATTGTTCTGCTGCAAAGCCCTCAGAGTCTGCAAACCTGCACAAGGCACCATTTTTTCACGGGGCAAAGTTTTGTCAACTCACAGGGTGTGTTGCAACGTGTTGGCGAATCCGGCCGTGATCTAAAATGATTTGTCAGGCTGCCCCTTGGCACTAGGGGACGGCTTCTGCCCTGTAGGCTCAAATTCCCCAATGCCAGCTTTGCCCTTGCTGCTGTGGTGTTTTTCCCCTACTAGGAGTATGGGGCGGATAATTGATCCCCCCTTAACCTTTTTGCGCAAATGGCTTGGCTGCACTTGAGAAAGCCCAAACAGATCAAAGCTTGCGAGGTCCACACCCCACGGGCGTAGCTTGACAAACTGCCTTGTCATCTCTAACTCACCGCCCATCGTGGTCGCCCAAACATCCCATGTCCTGTTGCGCCACTTGTGCACAGAGCCGCTATAGAGCCACATGAAGGCATATGTCACTTGGATCGAGGCATGCAAAACTTGTCTGTTTTTGAAGGGCGCGGAAAAACACAAACAGCCGGCTTTGCTTCGGGTGGGTTCACATCAGTTTCTATGTGTGGTTTTATCCAGAGGCAACAGTGGCTCACTAGGTGATTCTGAAGCAGGCTATAGTGTCAGAAAAATGATTAATACACCTGCCCACCGAGATTTTAGGTGTGACTTTATGCGGTTTGAGATGTGTTTCAAGAAGAATGAAGAAGAAAGAAGAAGGAAACGGACAACGCCCACCACCACAAACCACAACACCACACAACCTCAACAACGAGCTTCCACCACACAACAACCACAACCCAACAACCCAAAAACACCACAGCAACAACAACAACAAGCCATGTCAACGACGTCACCACGTGCTATTTTCGACATCAAAAAAACAAATGAAGGCTTGTCAACCTCAAACAAGTTCCAACAACAACAACTCCAAGAAAAAATTCCTGCTCAAAAAGCACAAAATCAACACAACAATGTTGCAAAGGCCTATTGAAAAGGCCTCAACTGCTCTCCAGTGCGCGCGCGCGCGCAACCAGAACTTCAACACCCGCGACACACTGTAATTGTGCATATCAAGCCGGTGTTCGAAGACCAAAGGCTCCTGCCACGCAGAAAATCTCCTCGAAGGCATGCTCTTGAATCTTGATGGAAGCACAAACCAAAGTACTTATAATTCACTTGGGGTTTCAACTTGCTAACTTCACTTCGATGTAAATCGTCAACTGATGGTTCTGCACCCTATATTTGCACGATAATGATGTAATATAAAAAAAATACTTTCGAAAAGGATTGGGCCACCTGACACCCTTTAGGCCAGGCACATTGTTCCGCACCAGCTGAGAATCTTCCCGCCCCCCGCCCCCTAAGATCTGGACCATCCATCAGGTCGGTGCTGAGCTGAGGCAGGGCTCCTGCACAGAAACAAAAGGGCCGGCTGCTGGCTCTCGAGAACTCTGACCAGATGCAGTGGAGTAAGAGACGCAAAATGGGAACAGACCCCCAACAAGAAGGAATAAGGAACTGATATGGTTCTGAAAATCAAGTTGATTCTGTTCCTTACGTCTCGTTCTCTGTCCTTGGGCTGTGTCCGCCTTGCCTGGCTTATTAAAGGAAGGGCTTCTGCTTGTCAAATGTTTTTAAATCGGGTGCAATTTCGGGTCCAAATCATCCAAGCTGATGCCACACCTCTGAACTGAGCCATGATCAGATTCCTTCTCTGCAGCATGTGGCTTGAGCAATGACTTCGCAAGATTTTGCCTTCACATCTTGGGCTCGGGATGCCCCACCGTTGTGAGTTCAAGGGCACGACAGAGCCGACCAAGCGAAGTGTGGAGAAGTAAATGAAAAAGATGATTCACTGCCATAGATGAAAAGACGTTCAACAAAAAAAACAGCAAAAGCAATCAATGCCTAAGTCTCTGGGTCCAAGCAGTGGCCAACTGCCCTGCTGTGTTCCAACTTTGCTTCTGTCCTCGTAGGCGCATAGTACATGCATTCGGTGTGGACATGTCTGCATCCAGAAACACCTAAAGGAGAGATCCTACAGAAAACTGATATTGGAGATCGAAGAGTGGATCATCTGCTCATTTGAAGTCCCTCTCTTTCTCTCTCTTTTTCTCTCTTTCTCTGATTCCACCTCACATGGCACCTCACACCCTGTCTCACCTTTCCACTGGATAATCTATACCGTATACCCTATATCTCTCTCTCTCTCTCTCCCTCTCTATCGCCCGTGTCAAGGCTTCATCCTGGCTATCATCAAATCGCATGTCAAAAGATCTCATTATACTAACAGTATCATGTCTTTTCTTCATCCTATCCCTAGGAAACGCTCTCTGGGCCAGGAGGTGTATGTCATCGATGCTCACCCAATCATGCCATCCGATATACATGCTATGTTACCCATCTAATCCGACTATCCCTGACGTATCTAAGGAATAATCGAGTGGCTTTACCTAGAGGCTAGGCGCTCTCTCTCCAATGTGCCGCTATCTTCTATCTGGTCCCTCTGCACTGAGAAAAGTATCTCAGCCTACCTCAAATTTTCTTATCAGCTTATCTCTCTTTCTGCTTAGGTCTCCTCATGTATGACATGATTGACCTCAGTTCCATTCCCGCTGCTGGAAACTAAAGCAAAGCCCGTTTCACAAAAATCCTGGGCTTGTGGATTCATCCCCTTGCACACTGGGGAACGTTCAAAGATGTAGCCTTCGCTTTTCAGAAAAGCTCTTCTCTGACAACCTCCCTTTTCGAAATTCTCGAGACTACAGTATATTGAACGGTCATACTCCAAACATGCTCAAACTGTTTGACTCTCAGGAATGCGCAATTAACATCAAAAGACACACTTTGGGCCCTTCCGTAAAAAATGCCAACCTCAGGCAGCCACACGGGATAGTCACAGGCGTTTTCGTTTTTTTCCGAGACTCTGTAAAACGTAAGTGCCCACCCATAGCGTGATGGCAGAAACCTGCAAGTGTCGAGAGACTTCTAAGGCTTTGGGGCATCAAGGAAGCCCGTCAAGGCCAAAGCTAAATCCTCTGTCATAGCTTTCTTATCGTTCTTGAGTATTTAGCACCTGCGTTCGCATCCGAGCCCTTGAAATGGTCGGACGTGTCCATGTTTGGAAATTTGAACTCCCGCGCTTGGCTCATGTTGCAGGAACAGTCAGCTTGCCTGCGCCTGGCGCACATGTCTAAGCCCCCTGTGAACCTCTCCACAGCTTTTTTACAAGGCCTAGGCGCGGGTAAAAACAACAAACAACTTAAGAACAAGAAGAAGGAAGAGGCGCACGCAAAAATGCGACAAAAGCAGATGTGTGTAACAAGCTGCGGTATGACAAAGAACATCATCACTACCAGTGAACCTGCACCCAAATGCGAACGCGCGCGCCAAGGAAACATGAACCCTGGTGTT